AGTCTCTCGCAGTTCAGAAATCTCTCATTCAGTTCAGGTAAATCCCGCCCTTTCTTACAGCCTGCGCACGCGATTTCAGCAAAACTGTGCACGGTTTAGCGTTCTTGCCGATTCGTTTCTTGCGGATTTCAATTCTTGCGGATTTGTACGGTCTCGCAGATTCCGAGGAAAAGAAATCACATTTGTGGTTATTCAGAATGTGCTTTTCAAACCGATTCATGTATTATCCTTGTCTGAGAAAAAAAAGGTTGAGACGCAGAGAAAAAGTGTCTGTGCCTCCACCTTATGTGTGCTATTTAGGCTCTCCGCTTCGACATCGCTACCGTATTCAGACTGCAAAAAATACTCTCTAACCTTTTTTTTTCTCAGACAAGCATAATATGCGAAAAAATATATTTTTTTCTGTTCTTAAAAACAATTTGAATCTGTTCTTAAAAACAATTTGAAATGCTCAATAAATTTTTTCGAAAAATCGGAATAACAGATGTATCGTTTTACAGATAACATGGGCAAAAAAACGAAAAATTCTTCGGCCGCCAAGTCACAATGGGTATCTGAATTGAATGAAAAAAAGTTAACTTACAGTTATATTTCAGATGAAGCTAGAGGAGGATTTCAGTGCAGAGCAACTTATTTCAAAAGATGACATTATTTTTGGAGAAATCAATGCGACTGATCTGGGAAAGCAAATCATACATCCGTTATTGAAAAGTGGACAAAACTTTGGAGATGTGTTGAGAAAATTGATATCATGGAAAGTAGGTATTGAGAAAATCGAATGGCTATTTTCACATCAATCTCCTTTTTTAGAACTATATTCGAGGACGTTCTGATAGTTTGTTCGAAGAATTCAATATCATATTACAATCGCAATTTGAAAGCCTTCGTGTAACGCTGATGGAGCCCTTCAATGAATCCTTATGGCAAGAATTGGAAACGATTGAAACTGACTTAAATAAGGTACCGATTCAAATAAATGGAGTTCCAACTTCTACCATTTCAATCATATCGTCTCTAGAACTTTTAATGAAAGATCTTGAAGTGAATGTTAAGAACGCAGAAATATTCCCTTTCGATGATGATTCCTTTGGTCTTCCACCCGTGAATTGTAAAAAGATTTGGAATCCACTCATATGGATGCGAATTGAAATGGAAAAGAAAATCAAGGATAATGGACAATACGATGTGCCAACTATCAACCAGCTCGTAACATCCTTAAATCTTGCTCCCAAAGTAGGAAATTTCGAGAAGCTTGCGGTGACTTCTTTGTAAACTAGAAACGTTTTATAGTCAACTATTCTCGTTTTTACAGCTTCCTGGAGAAAACCGCGGACAACCTAGACTATTCGAACAGTGGGGATAAACAAAGGTTCATGCAGGATCTAAAGGCGATGTTCGGAGCGACAACAGTTGATGAACTGACAATGGTACTACCGGACATTCTGATGGCGTATAGTGAGGAGCTTATGGAAAGGGTTATGCAAGTGTCCTATTTCATTCCTTTCGAACTACTACGTCTCATGTTCACTTGTTGGCAGCCTAAAGTTTTGAAACTTCGCTTACGCTCGGAAGCATGTTCTTCTATCGATGACGCTGCTAGAATAGAATGGGACGATGAAGATGTTTTCACTTCCACCACTCTTTTCAATTGCCCACTTTTCGATCGGTGCGAACCAGTATGTCTCGGAGAAGAGCCCGTAATAAAGGATTGTAAGCTGATCGCGGACGCAACGGGAAGTAGACTCTTTGATCCGATTCACAACGAAAAGAACTTTGACACGGCTGGCAGAGATTTTCTGGTATTGTTTCCGATGCATACGATTCTCATTAAACGGACAGTGAATCTCAAGATAGGATCTTCTGTGGTATTTGTCAATCTCTCATCCTTTTAAATTGAATTTTAATTATTTCAGAAGACCCAACTTAAACAACAAATCGAGCACATCGTCAACATGTTTTTCTGCAACGCCGAGGAACATAAAAACCGTGTCATTAATTTCGAGTTGGTATTTGAGAATGCTGGAGAAGTTCAGATGAGTGTTGTTAGAAAAAACATCCCACAAACGGCGAATAAGAGGAAAATCGGTGTGAATTACAATGTTGAACAAGAAACTAAAGATTTATTCGAAACATTTGGTAGTAAACGAGAAGGGAAACGTTTGTATGTAAGCTTTTTTGATTCTGAGAATCAGGTTATCATAGATTCAAAAATAGTCCTGTTGTCCTAATTTTTCGTTATTTTTCTCTGTTGAGCATTGTTCATCATAGTATTTTGTTATTTACTTTGTCTGTTTACTTTTTTTCATAAAAATGTCCGGGGGACTAGGTTTTCCTTGTTCTTCTTCCATTTTTCTCGCTGCTTTGTGAGAGCTGTGGTGTGTGCGTCTGATTAGCACTTGCACTGAAAACTTATCAGTGAGCGAGTTTCTAAGCCGTTGCTAGGCAATTTCATCTGCTCGCTGCCACGCGCCTTCATCGATTTACCTTATTCTCCCACGACGTCTAACAAAAAACTCGAAAAATATAGCGATATGCCGCTTTTCGGAGGAAAAAGAAACGATAAGAAAGAGAAGCCAAGCGAAGCACCAAGCTATCCAAAGCAAGCGGTATGTTTTTATTCAGTTTGAACACCCAAAAATAAATTTTTTCAGGTCGTTCCACCACCACAAGTAGCTCACTATCCAATGACATCATACCCCCAAGGAGCACTTGTCCAACAAAACGATCAGTTCTACTTCACTTCGGCTGGACAGCAGCTTCAGTCGGTTCCAAACACGGCTGCTGTAGCCTTTGCTCGTACTGATCTGCCAGGGGCCTACGACAATTTCTGCGAAGGCTTCCTCGATGGGCCGGACTTCTCGAACCGGGTTCCAGATCGAAACATTCCACCGGCTCCAGGATGTTACTATTTCTATTCGGTAACTTTTTTCGTTTCACAAAGTCACGAGTTATATCTTTCCAGCACGGTGGCGCAGGACCATCTACATCGTCGTACGCTCCTCCATTTCCAGGACCAATGACAGCTCCGGCACCGCAATCAGCTCCGCCCACTTCTTCAGGCAGTCTCCCACCACCACCAACATACGAACAAGTTCTCTCGCAGGAAGTTAAAGAGAAACTCTGATTGCCCTTCTTCAGGCACAAAAGGATGTGCATCGATGTGACATATAAATGACCCGATACTGTATTTTATTTTATTCTATTTTGACTCTGTGATGAATTGCATAATAATAAACATTGATCGTCGACTATCAATCAGTATAAAACATTTTTCGAAATTTTTTCTCAGTGTATCCAGCTAAATGTCATATCTTGAGCATCCATAACAGAGTACCTAGCATCTTCCCCAGACTACGATTAAGGTACGGTGTAGTATACTTCTGGCAGGGTACAAAGTGCAAAAAACTGTTGTCTGTGCCTCTAACGTTCCTTCACTGTTTTTCCGAAACCCTTCCTTATCTTCTTTTCGGAGTAGTCCACCAACAGCGTGGTCTCTCTCCGTGTTCATTCGCTGCTATTTGTGTCGTACCCTTCAAGCATCGGACACAAACGTTTTGTTTTTCTTCCGTATTGTTTTCAATGATCGTCGAATCAATATCTCATTCCTATCAAAAGAGATCATATATTTTCATTCTATTTCCACAACTCTTATAAGATTTTTAATGTTCAAATTTAATTATCCGAAAGTGCAATGTTATTTGTCTAGAGCAACCGGTTAGAACTGCAAAGGCGGAAATCGAAAGATCTTCTTTTTTTGAGTAGTTCTTAAAAAAGACATTCTCACACCTTCGTAAACGTTCAGTGTCGTTATTACTCCGTTTTAATTCCAGTTGTCGTATTTTAGAATGTCGGACGTACTTTTGAACTTCATAGCTGGTGGCGTCGGTGGATCATGTACCGTCATCGTTGGTCATCCGTTCGATACTGTCAAAGTACGTATTCAAACTATGGCTCGTCCGAAACCAGGAGAGAAACCACAGTTCACCGGAGCTCTTGATTGTGCCAAAAGAACAGTTGCCAAAGAAGGATTCTTCGCTTTATATAAAGGAATGGCGGCACCTCTGGTCGGAGTCTCTCCCCTTTTTGCTGTCTTCTTCGGAGGATGTGCCGTTGGAAAGTGGCTCCAGCAAACTGATCCTAGTATGTTATTTTGTATTATAAATAATCTGAATTATAATGTTTCCAGATCAGGAAATGACATTCATCCAAAATGCGAACGCTGGTGCTTTGGCTGGAGTCTTCACGACTATTGTGATGGTTCCAGGAGAGAGAATCAAATGCCTCCTACAGGTTCAACAAGCCGGATCTGTCTCATCCGGTGTCCACTATGATGGACCACTTGATGTCGTTAAGAAGTTGTACAAGCAAGGAGGAATTGCATCGATCTACAGAGGAACAGGTGCTACTTTGCTCAGAGATATTCCAGCGTCGGCGGCCTATCTCTCAGTTTACGAGTATTTGAAAAAGAAGTTCTCGGGAGAAGGAGCCCAGCGAACATTGTCACCTGGAGCTACTCTGATGGCTGGAGGACTGGCCGGTATCGCTAATTGGGGTGTGTGCATTCCAGCTGATGTTCTCAAATCACGTCTGCAAACCGCGCCAGAAGGAAAATACCCAGATGGAATCCGCGGAGTTCTCAGAGAGGTTCTCCGAGAGGAAGGACCAAGGGCTCTTTTCAAGGTTTGTTGTGGACTGTTGTTTTAATTTCTGATTAACCCAATTCTTCCAGGGATTCTGGCCAGTCATGCTTCGTGCCTTCCCTGCTAATGCTGCCTGCTTCTTCGGACTGGAGCTCACATTGGCAGCATTTCGCTTCTTTGGAATTGGTGGGCATCCAACTCCATCAACAGAAGTCATTCCTGTTCCACACGACGAATGAGTTTTATCTTTGTCAATTTTTCTATAGGACACCTGCTCTCATATCTATTTTTATTCTACTTTTTTCCTCATTCTGTTTTGGGTATTTGTACGTTGTGTATATTTCTCTGAAGAAAACTTAAGTTATTTTTTATGCATTTTCTTTTCAGTATAACAATATTATCGTGTTCAGTTGTCGCAGACTTTTTTTGAAGAACAAATTTATTATACGAGACCAGTCATTATATGAGACAGGTTCTAAAAGAATAGAAAAATTGATGTGGGCATTAAAATGATGTTTAAAAACGTTTAATTTTTTTTTTGAAAGCTCAAGAATCGCGAATTGTATCTGAACGGTATCTAAACCTGGATTTGGAAATGTTTCTATGGGAATTCTCTTATATCATCTCATCTTCGTAGTTGTAATCAGCACCCTCCATATCTGCCTGTTTGCTCTCTGAGTCGTCGATTTCATAAAGTTCGGCTCTCATATTATCGGTATAATTGGAATCCGAACTTTCTCCCGCGCTTGGAGTAGATGATTCATCCTCAATGGTAATGATACCTGTGGTATCATTTTCAGCCTGAAAATCATAGCAAAAATCAATCACAGTCTCAATTATCTCAATTATAATTATTTGTTTATTGTGTTTTCTTGTGTCAAACATATTTTGCAGCCCAATGTTAGGAAGGTTTGCAGCTCGCCAAGCAGTACGGTATAGCAAAGGTGCGTATGTGTTGTTTAGCCATTAAGATAAAAAAATAGACCAATCGAAGAATCACTAGGCTTGCAGTACCTGGTCATGTCAACAATAAAATGACCAGCTGATACGAGAAGTCGTAGAAATGTGCAAAAAACTGATAAGTGAAAAACGCTGTTAGGCAGAAAGTCTAGTTTTGGATGACACGATTCAAAACTTTAAAATTGAAACTAGTTGAAAGTTGAGGCTCTGAGATTTGATGTTTCAAGGAATGTTGTCAGTCAAAAACTACTATGTAGTAAACAACTTTGCTCATCACAAATCTACTCATTGCAGCCTCAAACCGACTCATCCAGTGTCATAGTCTTTCTCGACGCAATGTTCCAGCTATCCGATGCCTGCTGGCAGTGGGCGTTCAACAGCGAACATTCAACACAACTGCAAGCATGCTCCACCGTACGGCTAGCACCGAACACGGGTCAGTTCTGCGTCCTCGATTTTTTTATGTGTGTTGTTTTCTCCGAGGTGTGTATGTGAGATGACAATAGTACCCCGAAGTGTCGACCCCGCTGACTATCATTTTATCAAAAACAGAGAGGGGTGTCCAACGTCACTATCTTGTGTTTGTCTCTATACGTCTTTCCTGTTTATATATAATTTCACACCAGGGTATCATAATTTCCACGAAAATCATTTTTTGCACGCCCATCTGAAACACCTCATTTCTGATTATAGATGTTCGATGTGTGTCATTTCAATTCCTTGCAGCCTGTTCTCTTCCAGCATTAGGCTGTCATTTTGTCCCACCACCCTTCTTCTCACTTAAAAAATAATATCTAACCCAACAACTCACAGCTGGATAAGCCTTTTCTATGACTGTGTTAATCTGAAGAACTTCATCTCCTTGGACAATTCGATATGATGCCTTTGAAGAAGGTGCTTCAGAATTTTCTTTTCGAAATCTTCGGCTTCGTGGAACAGGTAGATGTCGATTGAAACACTTTTCCAATATCACATTGAATCGCGACAACTGACTTTTGGTCCTGAAAGAAACATTTTCTATTTTCCTTTGACAAAAAAAAAAGAATTTACCATAAATCCCGGAATTCAGTTTCACAAGCATCGTTACCATGATGTTCACCAATGTGATCGCATGGTGATTTCGACACCGGAAGAATTCTATTGCATTGTAAGCACTGATAACGCTTCGAAATTTCAACACCACGGAACTCGTCTTCAGGATGACTGTGTATGATGTGCTCAGCTTGTCTCTTGATTCTGGTGTTCCGGTTCCGACCGATTCCGACTGGGCATTCGCAAATCTTGAAAAGCTAATGAGAAAACTGGCCGAAATTTAACTTACTAAGCAATTAACCGTATCCTGTCCCTCGTCTTTACCATTGTCCACTCCCTCGTCTGGTTCAATGGAATGCATGGTGAATAGTTGTGGAATTTCTGCACTCGAAAAGTTTTTAGCTTTCATTTATACGTCTTACCAATCGAAGTTTTGGCTAAGGCTGCACCCGCATCTTGTTCTTGTGTAGATGTCTCCTGATCCTGAGACGATGCGCCGAACAGTAGTTTCATTTCTTCAGAACCCTCTGAGAAAGTTCCGCGCTGTAATATTCGAAAGTTCAGAGTTTCACATTTACCCAGTTGTTCGCTCTTTATGCTTGCAAATCATCAAGTAAAACTTACTGCCCATTGTTCGAGCAACTCTTGATTTGATGAATTCAAATTGGGCGTGATCGGAGGATTTTTAACATCAGCTAGATGTTCAACATCTTCTTCGTTGTCGCTATAATCTTGAAATGCTAGATTGTTGTTCTGCAGTTTGTCCAAATATTCCGCCATTTCTAACGGGTTTGAAGAGCAAACATATTTCATTTTATGGCTGTTCTGAAAATTTTCAAATTATCGGTTTCTATGAAGCATACTCACCAAATAACGACGAAGTCTTCGCAGATTTTGTTTCGAGTCGCTATCATCTTCAATACCAATTAACACGAACTTTTTCGCCGAAACTTTCGGCATTTTTTTCCGGGAAGGTATTTGTATTCCGGTAGAAAAGTTTGAGAAAATTCTGGCAGTCAGTCCATGTTTTTTCCGTGTACTACGGTAGCAGAGAACTTGTGCATTGCAGTGGCTAAGCGCGGGAAAATTCAAATTCATACACGTCACCTGGGCGGCCCTCGTTTGCAAGATTGTGCCCGCGAGTCTCATGTTGTTTTCACATTTAACGCTAATCTCAAGTTTTTCCTAAGCTTTTTTTGTCTGCTGCGTAGTCTACTCATTCTAGATGAAACATGATTCTCAAATTACGTTCCATACTCCAGATGGCTGCGTCAGCTTTGCCTCAAGATATTTCTGATGCTGAACTCGTTGGACTGGCACGGACTGCAATGAAACGTGCACATTGTCCCTATAGCAAATTTCCAGTGGGTGCTGCTCTTCTTACCGAGTCTGGGGATATTATTCTTGGTAACTATACACTCTAGATGCAATTTTGTGAGGTACTTTTCTTGAGGCTGCAATGTTGAGAACGCCTCTTATGGAGGAACTATCTGTGCCGAGCGTAGTGCAGTTGTCTCCGCTGTCTCCCAAGGCCACACAAAATTTCGCGCAATCTCAGTTGTCACAGAGCTCAGCGAGCCTGCTTCCCCATGCGGATTGTGTCGTCAATTTCTGGTGGAGTTTGGTGACTTCAAGGTTAGAAGAAAAAAGTTGTTTGCATTTTCTTGACAGAAAAGTTACAGGTTATCATTGGGACCGCATTTAACAGCAAGACGCTGATCACATCAACTCGCGAACTTCTTCCATTTGCTTTCACTCCCGAATCTCTTGACACCTTTGAGCAGGAGAAATCTTCCGCGGTGGCTGAAATTTCGGCTACAACCAAAGAGCATGACGTCGCCAAAGTTTCTTCTTAATCTATTTTTATCTCAACGAAATAGTATTCTTCGTCTTCCTACTAGAGATTCTTCCTACTAAAGCCTTTTTCTCCTTTTTTTTTTCTTCCTTGTGATTGCCTTCGATTATTTCTCTTCTCTTTTAAAAATCTGTTTTGTCTCCATTTTTCATGTAATAAAATATTTTCAGAATGGCGACCTGTGGGAACCCCAATGCACCGGCTGTGAAATTCGAACGTCTCCCAACTTTTGCCGAACCAACGCATTACGATGTTCGTCTATTACCATGTCTGAATCAGTAAGTATTTTGCATTCCTTCTAAAAAACGACAGTCTTGAAGTATGTTCTAAATGAAAAATTCAGATTCTCCTTCGAAGGGCTATCCACTGTAGATGTCACTATTAAGGAGGCAACGGACGTTCTCAAAGTGCATGCACAGAGTCTGTTGATTCAGTCAGTATCGCTGGTCGCAAATCCAGGAGACGCTGCAAAGACATGTGACACTTCCTATGATGACAAGCTGAATATTTTGAGTATCAAGCTTCCATCGGTCGTCCAGCCACAGAAGGTGCAACTTATTTTCAAATTTGTTGGAGAACTGAACGATAAGATGCGCGGATTTTATCGTAGTCAATACAAGGACAAGAGCGGTTCCGAGAAGTTCCTCGCATCAACGCAATTCGAGTCAACTTACGCTCGTTATGCTTTCCCATGCTTCGATGAGCCAATTTATAAGGCAACGTTTGATATCACTCTCGAGGTCGAGAACCACCTGACCGCTCTGTCCAACATGAACGTTGTATCGGAGACCCCTTCTACTGGCGGAAAGCGTAAAATCGTGAAGTTCGCCACAACTCCAAAGATGTCCTCATACCTTGTTGCTTTCGCTGTTGGAGAACTCGAGTACATCAGCGCTCAGACCAAGAGTGGAGTTGAGATGCGAGTGTACACTGTTCCTGGAAAGAAGGAGCAAGGACAATACAGTTTGGATCTTTCAGTCAAGTGAGTTATATATTTTGTTGAAAAGCTTTCTATTACCATGATCTTCAGATGTATCGATTGGTACAACGAGTGGTTCGATATTCCATACCCACTTCCAAAATGCGACCTTATTGCTATTCCTGACTTCTCAATGGGAGCAATGGAAAACTGGGGCCTTGTCACATACCGAGAAATCGCTCTTCTTGTTGATCCAGGAGTTACTTCCACTCGCCAAAAGTCCCGAGTTGCTCTTGTCGTTGCTCATGAGTTGGCCCATTTGTGGTTCGGAAATCTTGTCACAATGGTAACGCAAAGTCTTTTTTAAAAAATGTATCTTAACGTTTTCAGAAATGGTGGACAGATCTTTGGTTGAAGGAAGGATTCGCCTCTTTCATGGAATATATGTTTGTCGGCGCGAATTGTCCAGAATTCAAAATTTGGCTTCATTTCCTCAACGATGAACTGGCATCCGGAATGAGTCTCGATGGCTTGAGAAACTCGCACCCCATTGAGGTTGAGATTGACAATCCAAATGAGCTTGATGAGATTTATGATTCGATCACTTATGCCAAATCGAACTCTGTGAATCGTATGCTCTGCTACTATCTATCGGAGCCAGTCTTCCAAAAGGGACTTCGGTTATACTTGAAGAAGTTCCAATACTCGAATGCCGTTACTCAGGACCTGTGGACTGCTCTCAGTGAAGCTTCCGGACAGAACGTGAACGAGTTGATGTCTGGATGGACTCAACAAATGGGGTTCCCAGTTCTCAATGTCTCCCAAAGACAGGATGGAAACAACCGTATTCTGACTGTTCAACAGCGCAGATTCATTTCTGATGGAGGAGAGGATTCAAAGAACAGCCTCTGGCAGGTTCCTATCACTGTCTCAGTTGGTAGCTCACCGAATGATGTGAAAGCTAGATTCCTTCTCAGAGAGAAACAACAAGAATTTGTTGTCGAAGGTGTTGCTCCAGGAGAGTGGGTTAAGCTCAATTCTGGAACTACTGGATTCTACCGAGTCGAGTATTCGGATGAAATGCTGACTGCGATGCTCCCTGACATTGCCTCTCGCAAAATGCCAGTTCTCGATCGCTTTGGACTCATCAATGATCTCTCTGCTCTTCTGAACACTGGAAGAGTTTCAATTGCCCAGTTCGTCCAAGTCGCTGCTTCGTCGGCTAATGAAGACGAGTACGTGGTGTGGGGAGCTATCGATGAAGGAATGAGCAAGCTATTGATGTGTGCCCGAGAAATGTCTGACGATACTCTTAAAAGGTAAGAATAGCACGGTATGATGTTTCTTTCTATGATTTCTACTTTCAGTGCAAAACAACTTGTCATCAAGATGTTTGAGAAGTCTGGCGCGGAGCTCGGATTTGCCGAGCAATCCGGAGAAGACTCGCAGAAAATGATGCTTCGTGCGCTTGTTCAAGCTCGACTTGCCCGTGCTGGTCATCGGCCAACTATTGAAAAATTCAATCAACTTTTCACCGACTTCTTAGAAAAGGGTACTCCAATTCACCCAGATATTCGTTTGGCCACCTTTGGAGTTGTCGCCCGGTGTGGAGGAAAAGAAGGATTCGACAAGCTCATGAATCTCCGTGAAACAACAACCTTCCAAGAGATTGAACGTCAAGCCATGATTGCAATGTCGCAGACACCAGAGCAGCCACTGCTGGCCCAGCTTTTCGAATATGGATTCGAGAAAAATAAAGTTCGCCCACAAGATCAGCTCTATTTGTTCGTTGGAACTGGTTCAACTCACATGGGACAACAGTACGCCTGGAAGTACTTCTGTGAACACATCAAGGAATTTTTGGAAAAATACGGTGGTGCGAACTCTAGTCTGTTCCAGCGTTGTCTGAAATTTGCTGGAGAGAGTTTTGGAAGTGAGCAACGAGCCGTAGAGTTCCAAGACTATTTCTGCAATTGCAAGGAGCTCAATGATACTGATCGCCAAACGTTGGCTAGGCCAATCGGACAGGTTTGTTTGTCCAGCAATTTTTTTTTCAAATTCTTGTTACAGACTGTCGAAGCTATTCGTCTGAACGCCCGTCTTCTCGAATCCAATCGCTCAGTGATCGAGACTCTTCTCAAACAAAGCAACTTATAATTTATTGAACCCTACTCCTTCTTATCTCCCACTGGTTTTACTGGTTTCACATCCACAATCAACCCGTTTAACTTTATTTCGTTTGTTCTTTTTTTAAACCAGGTTTTTGAATTTTTTTTGTTAGTTTTAAATGAAGTACTGCTGAATCAGCAGTGCTGATGCGTAAAAAGTGAAAACAATAAGAGCACTTGTTTAAATTGAAGTGGTGAATTTTTCAACATCCCATCTCAACGACCACAACGAGAAAGAATTATGCATTTGGAAACAGGGTCCATCGGTTAGAATGGGAAGAGAGAGGGAAGCTCTCCACTTGAAGGGACAGTTTTCGATGTTTATTTTCTGCTACGCTATGATAGATTTCTCGCTGATTCCGGCTCCGAAACTCAACATTTATTCCCCAATCGGAGGTTTCTCGTCATTTGAGTTACATATCGCCTTTTTGGGTGGTGAAAGCAAGGAGATGACACCCTCCGAGGCTGGGGTACTGAGATTTGCTCAATGAGCATTTTCTGTCGCATTTCCCAAAAATCTCATGGGATGGGAAGATGAGAAAAGAGGCCACCCGTTGCTCAATTCAACTGCACTTTTGTGTGCTTTTTTTGATGCACCATTTTTTTTTATTTTTGAAAGATTTATCTTTTTTTTATTTTCTGGTATATAGTTCTCAAAAGTTTTGATATGCATTTCTCATTTAGGGGCATTTTCGTAAAATAAAAAATAATAAAATACAAAATAACACAACGTTTAGAGGTTTTGAATACAAAAAAACACCGAAAATTCTGAGTTACAGTAGTTATCGTTTGGGACTTTTAGCCCACTTTCCTCTTACACAGCTCCGATTTGTTCATACCAGCATAATACGAGTTGTGAAAAAGTTCAAACAAAATTTCAAAACATTCGAAAAAAAAAGAGAATATTTTTGAACATATGCAAAAGTGTTTGTCTATCAGTCAATCCGCCAATTACTACAAAAAGACCACCATGTTCAGCATTCGTATTCTCAAACTCCGACCAAAAATTGGATTGCTTTAAAAAGTCTCATTCCAATACGATTAGATGAGTCTGCTCCTCTTTCTTCTTTTCTTCCCCAAAATATTCCATCTGTCCCTTCTTCGAACTTGCTCTTCTTCTTTCTCCACTAATTGCTTGCTTTTCTGGTCACTTTGGATATCTCTTCCGTTGACGCCTTTTTTGCTGCTTTGTGTCATCCATGTCCGAAATCTTCTTCGTTTCAGACATTTTTTTAAAATCTACCAAAATCAACATGAAGTCTTCTGTCACTCAATTTTGGCACCAGGTCTGTATTTTATTTTATCAAAAATTTAATGTATTTGTCACAGAACAGGAAAAAACGAAAATTCCCCGAAATTGAATGAAAATGTAGAAGAAAAGGAGAGAAGAAATATAAGAGTTGCTTGTTGTGAAAGTGTAGATTTGGTAACTTTTGGAAATAGTTGATTTGGGGGAAGATTGGGAGAAAGAAGGCACGATAATTTTCATTTGTTGGATGGGTGTGAAAATAAGATTAGGTAGAATCACACTTGATACCGGGCCCAGCCATAGCCATTTCGTTTCGAATCAATATTTTTGAACCAAATAAATCAGATATGATAGAACTCGACGATTACTACAGAATGACACTATTTGGAAAACTGCATCTTGTCTGCGACCAAAGTTAAACGCCATAAAGAGGCTGATCCGGACAGAACCAGGTAACCTGTTTTTGTCCCGTCATAAACAAGATACAGTTTTCAAGAAATTAACATTTGGAAGTAATCGTCGAGTTCTATCATATCTAACTGAGTTGGTTCAAAAATATGGATTCTAAAAGAAACTATGGCAGGGATTGTTTACAAGTATAGTGAGAATATACGTACAGATGAATGATACATCACTGAATGAATTGAAAACACAAAAAGAAACCGTTTGGGAGGAGGAGATAAATCACTGATTGCGTTGACGGAACTCTTTGACGATATGGAATAGTTGGGGGAACGCGACACGAACCATTTGCCCGATTCCGAATACAAGAGATATCAGACGAAGTTCGTTCTCACAGTTTGGATCCCATTGAATCTGGAAATTTCCAATTTCGAAAAATAATATTTGTCGCTATCTCTCACCTTGATCTCATTCTCAGACCAGAACGATCTGTTTGGTCGGACGTTTGCCATGATCTTATCTTGAGTCAGAACCGACCATGTCTCCTTACTGAATGCACATCCACAGTTTAAGAATAAACTGCTCAATCCGGATGTCTGAGTCATTAGGCGAGCACTGAAATTAAACTATAGGTTTATAATTTCTTATGTTCTCTAGTCAATTACCCTTTCAGTTCATCAGTGTTTGTCTGAATCAGAATGGTTCCACCGAGTTCACGAAGCTCATAGACAGTCATTCCAGAAACCGGATGTTTTATTTTGAGAAGACTGCTCGTGTCCTCCATATCAATAAGTGTGACCTCGCATATCTTCTTGCTGCCTTCCTGGAGAATTATTTCATCTGGATAGACACTTGCTGGAAAGAAAGAACTCTTTGTTAGGACACTTTTATCTTTTTAACCTTGCATGATTCTGAATCCTTCTTTGTTTATGATATCCAACTCCACGGGATCAAACTGAGCAGAATTTCGGAGCACGTAGTGTTCGATGGCTCCTTGGAGCTGAAAACAAATTGATCTGATTCGTTGCCGTCTAATTTTTCTTGATCCGGTCTTCAACTCTTGAGCATAGAAAGACTACAAACCTGTGCCACATCGTTCATTTTGACTCGAACTTCATCCAATTTTCGCAAAATGTGGACTGCTTCTATTTTGGTAAGTGTTGGTGCGATGGCCGTGGAGAAGCGTCTGCAACATTTTTTTTGGGTCGGAAAGTGGAGGAGAAGAATGAATTAGTTTTTTTTTCTCACTTAGATGAAGAAGAAGCACTTGAACAAAGAATGAGAAATGGGGGAAGGATCAGTCAGCACTTCTCATTTCCCCTTTTTCTGTGTGCATTATTTTACGCCAGCTCCTTCAAAATCGTTTTCGGCCCAACATCTGCCATCTAGTTTTTCTTAGATTATCTTTTTTGTAAATTCCGTTTTTCCATGCCTTCTACTTTAATACTTGCTAGTATTTCTATCAGATCAGTTTAACCCAATTACCGTAAGCACTCTATGAACCCCGCTCCCAAACATTCCACTTTGTGCTCATTTATCTTGTTTTCTGTGAAAGATATCAAAAATTAGTCAACTGACAATATGGTAATTATAATTTCAAAAGTATTTTGCCAGTTAACATCATTTCGATATCGTTCACAGGAACCGAGATAAATTGGGTCAAAGATAAAAGTTAGGTGGTTCGGTAGATGTTATTTTTGATATAAAAAAGATCAAAGATAGCTGATTACATGATTATTCAAAACTTATTCAAAAGGAATTGTGTCGTTATCAAACATTGGTGATATTATGACAAATATTGGTGATATTATGACAAATATTTCATCAGTTGAGAAATTTTGAATATATTTTACAGAAAGCGAGATGAGTAAGCTTAAACTTGACGGTTTAGGTGGGCTTCAGTTAGAGGGAATACGGCTATCATGGAATCTAATACATTTATCATGGAATCTAAACTTCTAGATTTTCTGTAAGCTTTATCTCACATCCCTGTCCACTTTTTTTCATCAAACTCTTTCTCACCTTGCCTGACGTGTGATTTGCGCAGTAACAGAAGAAGTTCTTCGTCCCGTGTTCGTCATTCCGTCAGGAACGTTATTTGCTTTTTTCGACGAGGCCTTCTGACTTTTCTGTTTCTTCGCCTCCTGTTTCTTAGCGCGTTTCGCTTCCTTTTCAGCAGTTGCACTTCCTGTCAGATGCTTCTGAAAATGAGAAGCATGGGAAAAGTTCTGAGAATAGGGATGTAATATATTCTAATGTATTCATGGACACTGATTTTCTCATTCAATTCATTTAAATTATGAAGTACACGGCACACTCAATGAGGGTTAGGAGGCGGAAGAGGTGGAAAAGGAAGAATATTGATAGACTAAAAAGTTGAATTGGTAATTTTCATTATGAAAGGAGTAAAGATCAAAGAGTTGCCTGTTCTCGATTTGTTTATCCTGGAAGCTAGTCTTAAGATCAACAAGAATCTCAATTAGAATATTATTATATTTAGATATAGGAATAAGTCCTCTCTATAAGTCAGAAAGTACAAAGTGATCAGATCCTTGAAGTATATTTCCATATAGTTACTTGTGTTGTCAGTTTCTATTGAAAACGACATATGCATTGTTCATCATTCTAGTTTTATGGGAAGTTGCAAGGATGAAAACATCGAATGGACTTTTCAAAAAAAAAAGAGAAGAATCAAAAAGAGTCATCGAAAACTAATTGTAAGCTTGTATGGTTCTACTGGATGTAAGTGGAAATTTGGGAGCAAGTCGACTGCTGGTATAATGATGGGGTGGGAAGGGCATCGGAAGTCATTCGAGAGTTCTTTTCTGGGTCACAGAACTTTGCCTTCTTAGCGTGATCCGACGCTCTCCCACAAATCTCGAATGATGGATTGGGTAGAAAACAGAGACGATGAGGAAGGAGTTGCGTGAGCTCTTCGGAGCTCGTGTGGTGCTCCCAATTGAAAATTTAAGTGAATGGCGATATAGAAAAAAGGAGAAGAAGGAGGAGAAAGTGACGAACTTTTGTCTTCATTTCGTTCTTTTTTTTTTTAGAAAAAAAGATTGGAGTCTTGTGATCCAGAAATGGAATATGAATAGAAAAAAGGATGTTTACATTGGAGTAGGTGGGACCTCTCTGATTGATGTATGACCACAATTTACTGTTTTCTGTCTTTCTCAGTTTCCTGAATTTTTCAATTTTATCCCGGAAACCTCATTCAAACCTTTTCTTCTGTTATTGGAATCAAAATCAGTGACGTGAATTCGGATTTGAGGAAAACGAGAGTCATCAGATTCAGAAGCCAATTTGAATAAAATAGATCTAATCGTAGTTTTTTCGTGACGTCTTTTGGCTTTCGAAGGTTAGGAATAGGGATTTTTGAGGATTTAGAATAGATGAATCTTGCAAAAAAAAGCAAGGAGAGGGCACAAAGATCATATGGAGTGAAATTTCAACCGTCGTTGCTCATACTTTATGAAAAAGATGAAGGAAGTAACATTTCAAAAATGTAGTCCCTTTTTAGACTAAGATTTTCCATAGCTTATATGGAACCATAGTTCAAGAATTGAGATTTTGGAAAGCTTATCTGGAGGAGGTGGAGAGGAGATGTTTCGGAGTTTGTTTGGAGTCAGGGTATGCAAGTTGTATCGAGGTTAAGCTAGAAAATCAAAATAGCAAACATTCAGAAGCCCTCACGAAGTAAAGCTTCCGAAGATTGTCTTGTCGAATCTTCTTCTCACTTTTTCTCTACTGTTTTGAATTCAAAAAAAAACTCGATCTGAACCTTCCGTTTTTTAGTTTTGTTTGTTCTTCGAAATTCTCCTCTTCTCTCTCCACAAAATTGAAAGACAGGAAAAAAACTAAAACTTTGAAAACAATGTAGATGAAGAACGAAAAAGTAATGAAAAATGATGTTATAATGATGAGGCTTATTATTTATGACTGGACTCAAACTCAACGAATGTTGCGGTTTTGAGGCGGAGTCTGGAACGACTGGAAATGAGAGAAAAAAATGAGAAAATGAGAAAAGAGACATTAGGAGATATGAGAGAATGTTTAGAGTTTCGAATAGACTTCCCTCTCATCCTGGTCTCATTGCTCGAGACCAAAAATTTTTGAGATATCGTAGAAAATCGATTTGACCAGAAAGAGAAATCAAAAGACAGAAAACTCTTCCTTTTTTCTCACGGGGTTCGATTCGAATAGACAAAACACTGTCGTCTTTTTTGATGGTCGAGGATGGCTATTTTTTAAATTTTAGCTAGACAAAATTCAGATTGTGTCTTTGAAAAAAAGATTGCACTTTCCTGAAGCGAGCTATTGAAAAAGGAGGTGGACATTGCCGAAGGTCCCACAACGACAACTACCGTAACCTAAAAATATTTTCACTTTTCGGATTCATTTCTTCGATTTTCGTGCATTTTCAGTCTTTGTTTTTCACTAACAAAGTTTTCTAATTCCACTATCAAAGTATTCGTAACCGGAAAATATAAATATTTTTAGGTTACGGTAGTTGTCGTTGTGTGACCTTCGCCCCCGGCCACCAGCATTTCTTTTCCGCAGCACCGATTTACCAGAATAATAAAGAATCTTGAATATCAGTTGGGAAAGAAGAAAGACTGTTAGAACACATTTGAAATCCACAAGAGTTTCGTCTAGACATTTTTATGTAAACAGTCCCTATCGTAGCTAGTTTTGTTCGGTTGCGCTCAGTTATAGCTTTGTTTTCGAAAACAATTAATTTCTAAAAACAATAATTGTCCAAGAACTAAAAAACTATGTAGGTAATATAATAAAAACAGGGATATAGTTGTCTTTCTTCACTTATTCCATAAAAAAAAGCTTCTAGGAAAAAGGAAATGAAGAAAATACTGAAAAATGGGAAAAAGGCGATTCTCAAAGTTTTTGGTCCGATCTGCGATTTTTTAGGAATGCATTGAAGGGGCGATTGAGCTATTTATCAAAAATGAGGGACGACAGGAGGCAACGGAAAACGCCTTCTTTTCGTGCGAAAATTCTTTGAACTTTAATACATCGTATTAAAAATTGAAATTCATTGTTTTCAACTATAAGTGAACTGACTAAAAAATCACTACCGTCACTACCGTGAAACCTGTAATAGAAGGACCGCTAACTTTTAATTTTGAGCCAGTTTTTCTCGGTTCCTATGAAATAAATAAAAAAGTTGTCAACTAATAAATAGTGTGACATAATATCAGAAGCATTTTGCCAGTTGACATTTGTGATATCTCACATAGGAGCCAAGAACATAGGAGCCAAACATGAAATGCAAATCCCTTCTATTACAGGTTTTACGATAATTTTTAAAAACATTTATAATGCCAATGCCGAAAGCTATCATGCATTCCAACAAAATTTCTCTGACAAATAGTGCCAGTTAACTCCTCTTGGAAAGCTCCTCCCAAGAATAAAGGGGACATCGTAGAGATAGACGGGATTGATGGGATTTCAAAATTGGCAGTTGAGAGAATGGAAAGACAAATGGAGTGTGAAAGTGTGGCATCGTCAAGGCAATGTCTAAATTGATGATTTATGAACTTTTCGAATGAGTCTAGCCCTAATACTGTAAGAAACTTGTCAGTCACAGATCAGTGTGAATCAACATTAAATTGAATAAAATAAAGTATGTTGATTCAATCAGGAAATAGTTGTATTTCTCATACTGCTTTTCCAACATTTTATGTTCTCTTTTCATAGATAAATAGGTGCACAGGACATTCGAAATGCAGACTTCTCCTTTTGAATGAACCGGATGTTCTTTTATTTGCAAAGAAAAAACCAAGTTCCATTTTGGAAAAGGCATTTTGGATGGAAAAAAGAGTGGGTCAACGCACAAAAAGTGTGCTGGTATCATCTGATGTATCTTTGGGGTAGTTGTGAACTTCTCCTGTTAGATTTTCCTAGAATACGTATCTGATATTTTAAAAAAATGAGATCTGGGACATCTAGGGACCTCATTGTTCTCAGGTACCATATTCCGTTTTCTAATTTTGTTCCATGGGGAGAAACGTGGCAAACATAAAAACAAAGGAAAGTGTAGACGGAAGACATTAGAAGAAGGAACAAAAAATATGGGAAAAAAATAAAATATAAAATTCCTCTTGGGTGCAAGGTGCAAAAACTCCTGGGGGTTTTCGACCTAATTGCCTGAAGAGAAGAAGAAGAAGGAAAAAAGGAAAAAAGAAGAGAGGGTGAGAATAGGGTATTCTATAAGCTTCCATGTTTTACGCGTTGATTGGCGACTCTTCTTGAAAATATATTCCAGAAAAGGAAATAGAAGACGAGTCAGAAAAGAGGTCGTAGTCAAGGGTACTAGTAGGCTGGTGGTGAGGAGGAAAGCACAAAAAAGGAAAGGAAAGGAAGAATGGATGCATCATAAAATTGAAACGGGAAAAAGTAGGAAAAAGAGAGAAAAATGTGAATGAAATTGAAGGAGAATTGAGTGTACGGAACACACGAAAATGGGCAGAGAGAGAGAGAGAGAGTGAGAGCGGTCAAAATGTATCTGATCGGAATATTTCGACTAGTTGGATTGAGCTTTTTCACATGCAAGTCATACGCTTTTGGAATGGTCTTTTTTGTCTAGCCGTTTTTTATTGGAATTCAATGTTAGTTCGTTGAGAAGGGAGGGAGACTGTTTATAAACTTTCAGACGTACTTTATTTCTTCTCCAAATATTCTGATTTCTCACAAAGTTACCGTAAGAATTGTAATAGAAGGGTCCTTTAACTTTTAACTTGGAGCTAACTTATCTCGGTTCCTCAAGGTTTTAGAGTATTGAGGAATGGTAACACGATAATCCAAGGATCATACAGTAACTTGTACCATAAATTTATATCCTAATCTAAACTTCTATTTGAGTTACCGTAAAACCTCTAATAGAACGACACCCGGATCGTCCACTTTGAGCCTATATATCTCATTTACTGTGAAAGATATCAAAAAGTGGCTAACTAGTAAAATGTTGCTGATATCCTGATAAACATTTTACTAGTTAACCACTTTTTGATATCTTTCAAAAGAAGTGAGATATATAGGCTCAAAGTGGACGATCCGGGTGTCGTTCTATTAGAGGTTTTACGGTATGAATGAAAAAATTGTTATGTGTCTCTATCTCATTTTATTTATTATATAACATCGCCATTTGATATTTCTCAATCAGAACTTCTCATAATAACAAAATTGTTTTTTTTTGCAATTCAGATATTCCCAGATGTGGCACGTGGGCGTAAACATCAGTGCCGATGATCGACGGAAGTGGGATACATTGAGAATTCTTAGAATCTGCCATAAAGCCTATAGAAAAGTCCTCACACTGTCAAGTTTGTGCTAATTTGCCTTGGCTCTTTTGCAAGATATCAAAAATATGTTGACTGACAAAAAACTTCTGATATTATGAGAAAGTTTATATTTATCAGTTGACAACTTTTTTTTTATATATTTGACAGTAACCGAGATTTAATTGATTTCAAGTTAAAAATTAGAAGGCCCTTCTATTACAGGTTTTACAGTATGAGGTTATGTCGATTTAGAAACTACAGTAATCCACTCATAAAAACAAGTGATACACAAAACTGCTCTGCGGTTCAAAAATAGCAGAATTTTTGCTCAAAACTGATGAAACAAGTTGTATTTTCCTAGAACTGCAAGTTTTCTTGCTTGCCTCATCGACCTCATAATTGATGAGATGATTAGTTCGCCACGTGGCGCCTGACTTACCAAAAGTCCCATTTTTTATCAGTTGATGGCCGGAAGCAATAAAAGAAAGAGTGTGAAATGACAGTGAACTGTTTCTGATTCTTTCCGATATGGTAATCATTCTTTTCTCTTCCACCTCCATTCAATTCCATTATATTTCTTTTATTTTCCACACCATCCCCCGCGCATACATTATGGCTTTTCTCTCTTTTTTTTATGAAAAGGAGAAGCAGAAACTTTGAAAAAAAAGAAAAGAAAAAGAAACTAACCGTATCGGACATTTTGTTGTTTCAGCCTTGGTCTCCGATGCGACGAAAAAGAGCACGAAGTTCGAATCCGAATGGGTGCAAAACGACAGCGACAACGTTGACGTTGTCAGGGGAAGGAATTGAGAACAACAATGGAAAAGTGTTGCTACCGGTGAGTTTGAAATTGAAAAGTGACGAGGGGTTGACAGGTGAACAGGGGAGCAAATTTAGAAGAAGATGGAGCATGTGATATAAGAACTTTTAAAATAAAATTTCCCCAAAATTAGAACAGAAATAGAATCAAGTAGCAAGTGTCCATGGATGCATAGCAAAATCAAATTTACATAAATAATTAAATACAAGAAAAAGCAACATAAGAAATTTAATCAAAATGATTTGTGCTCATAGTTTTGTTTGTTGAACCTTGACTCAAAAAAAAAGAATAAACTGATGATTTTAAACATCACGGAAATCTACTAGCAAAAATTAAAGAGTAAGGACATACATATACACCGTATTTCCTCTCTTAAAAGTGCACTCAAACCGTCAACTTTGAGTTCAATTATCTCAATTTCTTCATGAGATATCGAAAATGTGCCAACTGATAAAATGTTGGTGATATTCTGGCAAGCAGTTATCAATTTACAAAATTTTGATATCTCTTGTAGAAATTGAGATAATTGATCTTAAAGTGCAAGTATAGTAGGGCCTCTATTAGATTGTTTCTCGGCTACTGGGTGAGATAAAACTTTGGATATTGGCAAAAATTACACAATGATGTTGCAAAAATCTCATTAGTAGCCTATTTTTCATATTTCGTACACAAAACGAAGTAATGCAGGTGTGAATTACAGTATGGATATACCGTAACACCTGTAATGGAAAGGGTCCCCCACATTGTCCAGTTTGAGTCCAATAACCTCAGTTCCTACGCAAGAGATCCAAAATGTGTCAACAGGCAAAACACTTCTGATATTACGATAAACAATTTACCAATTGAAAGCCTTTTTATCTTTGACAGGAACCGATAAAAATTGGCTCAAAGTTAACATTTAGGGGCCATTCTATTACAGGTTTTACGATAGTTTTATTTGAAAATTCTAGACAGAATAGCGCCATGAAAAAGTTCACATTCTGAGCTTCATTTGAATTTTGTATTTGTAGAGTTGAGCATCTAAAAATAAGTTTAGAATAGCCACATTTGTCTTCCATAAATTAAACTGATCGTTGTCCAAGATATCACATATCTGATTTTCATCCCAGAACCTGAACAATGTATTAGTTTTGTGCTCGATTCTAATGACGAAATAACAGTGCCCGTCAATAAGATTCTGCATCATAGCACCTGCCAGGTAGAATAGGTGTAACATTTATTAATATTGTCCCAATCACAATATCCGTCGAAACCAATAAATCACCATTGATAAGAAAAACTGTAATCTTACATCTTCTTCTACATTCCATTTCCATACTTTAATTTATGTATCCCTTTTGAGAACAAAACAGTTTTCTTGCCCCTAGGTGTTTGAGACAGAAGATGAAAGTGTAAAGTGGATACAGTGATGACATTTAGACCTTCAGAAAAATAAAGGAGAGAGAGAGAGATAGAGATGAAAAGAAATCACTTGTTTCGCATCTCCTTTCATTCATTTCAATCTTCCACCATTCATTTTTTGTTCGGTTCCCGCAATTCCACAAAATAAGAGAGAATTAGAGAAATCGAGAATCTCATAAATTTTGATTGCGGTTGTTTCGATTCGCCACCACCGAGAACAGATCAGATCAACTTAATTTCGAGCAGATGTCTTTTTTCTTCTCTTTCTTTGTGTCAAGCTTCTTCTCTCTCTCTCTGAGACTTTATGATCCAAACTATATGGAAGATATAAATAACGATTAGAGCATCACCTTTTTTACTTTCCTGTCTTTCGTTTGCACTTCTGAAATAAGCCTTCCCCCAGATATTCTTTGAAACAAAAGAAACAACACGGAAGGTAAATCTTTTCTTTTTTTCCTATTCCGTCACTTGTTTCAAATCGTTGAACCGTATACTAATATGGGTGGCGGGCTGGCACAGACATTTCGGAGAAGAGCTTCAAGAAGTTGCTCTTTTCTTTCTGGAGACACTATTTTCGATTAATAGAGTTCAGGAGAGCTCAAAACACATATTTGTTCGGGACAGTTCCTGGTTCATCCAAATTTTTCTGGCTAGCTGATTTTTTGAAAGTTCTTGAGAAAAGTTTATTTAATTCCACCTTTAAAATATTCCTGAAGTGTTTCACACTGAAGTATCGAAACTTTGACATTTTTCGAGATTTTCATGAAAACTTCGGCACTCTTCTAGAATCACGGAACGAAAAAATCACGGAACGAAAAAATCACGGAACGAAAAATAAAATCGCGGAACGAAAAATAAAATCGCGGAACGAAAAATAAAATCACGGAACGAAAATTTTGGGTAATCCAAAAATTGCTATCTTCTTCACTTTGATAAGTAGTATCCGTAATACTAACTTTGGCATCAATTTTATTTTGTCCAATACCCAAAAGTATACTAAAAAAGGGTTTATCAATTTCTTAAGATACGCTAGTTAACAGGTTACATAGGACCTGTAGAACATCTGAAAATTCCGTTTAAAGCTACATCAAGCAGTTATTGAGCTTGCTGACATTTTAGGGTGTTCCAGATCAAAGAAGCATGGCGTTTCAGCCTAAGCCTGAGATTGAAAAAAGCTTCTTCAATCCAAAAATGTCATCCAATTTTTGAAAAATGAAAAATAAAATTTTTTCAATTATAGGCTTAGGCTGAACCATCATGTTTCCTTCATGTTGGACACCCAAAAAACGACGGGAAGTTTGATAACTCTGCTCGTTGCAGCCTCTAACCTAACTCTCATATGTCCCATGATCCTCAGAACATCTGGGAAAGGTCCTATGTAACCTATTAATCATGTACACTATCAACTAGTGTACCTTAAGGACTCAATACCACATTTCGGGTGTCATTTTGGATACTGAGCAAAAAAATGTAATGTCAAGGTTAAATATCAGGATAGTACTTGAATGAAGGTCCTTGCAATTTTTGGATTACCCAAAATTTTCGTTCCGTGATTTTATTTTTCGTTCCGTGATTTTATTTTTCGTTCCGTGATTTTATTTTTCGTTCCGTGATTTTATTTTTCGTTCCGTGATTTTATTTTTCGTTCCGTGATTTTATTTTTCGTTCCGTGATTTTTTGTTCCGTGATTTTTTTTTCGTTCCGTGATTTTTGTTCCGTGATTTTTTTTTCGTTCCGTGATTTTTGTTCCGTGATTTTTTTTTCGTTCCGTGATTCTAGAAGAGTGCCAACTTCAGCATATCGAAATTTCACAATCTGACCAGGGCCGACAGGGCCGGACCGGAGAATTTTTCATTTGGACTCGGCCCGGCCCAAGTTTGTTTTAACAGTTAAAATCTCGCCGTATGTATAAGAAACCAGAAGGTGTCAGAACATTAAACAATCAGTGATTTATAGGCTTGGGCATGATTTTCATATGGATTCTGATATTCAGAAAACATGTTATTTTGCCTAGATAGCTTTCTGATTACTAGACCAATTAGGGTGTGATCAATGAACTGATAAACGAACACCACTAACACGATCATCCTTATCTTATCACTCGTCTAACAAAAAAGAGCCAAAATGAATATTCGTTCCAATGCCATCTAGATAAACATGATTTTTTTTTCTCCTTTTTTTCTGAAATAAACGAGTGCTTGTTTATGTTTCTCATATATGTTTTCACATAAGACTCATGGAGAAACAACAGTTTATGGGAGCCTTCAAAATTTGTTTAAATTCTTCTCGGTTCTTGTGAAGCTCATTCCAGCCACAAATATATGAGACTTTTTCAGAATTCAACGAGTCAACCGATGCTGTCAACTCAATCAGCCAGAGGGTATAGCACCCTTCCTCGTCGGGTCAGTTTTCCATTTTTCTATTTATTCGATTCAATTGCCTCCACCGAAAAAAAACAGTCCGAATGTCAAGGATGACTAAAACATCTCCACTTTTTATTCGAATCGATGGATTCAATTATATAACAGCCAATCATTGTATTGAATCCTCATACTCGCTCTCTACACATTCTCTCTGTTTCGATTGTTTACGTTTTTGCAAATGTCGCTTCTTCTTCATCGGAAACGACGACTCCGATTTCAAACTCGAAATTCATTCCTATATTCTTTTGATTCACGATTCATCCTGACATCGAAAATCACAAAATGACGATCCGGGTGTCTATATTACCTGAAATGCCTGCTCTTATCAGGTTTATTCTTGAAAAACAGGTAAGGGATTACTGCAATTTTGTTAGGAGTTATGTAGATTGTTAGGAGTTATGTATTTTGTTAGGAGTTATGTAGATTGAAGATATGTAGATTGGCAGGTGTAATAAATATTGAGACCATATATTCGGACATTCTCACAATCAGTCAAAGATGCCCGGATTTCGTGCATTTTTTCATTTCAAATTCCATATTCCGGATTCCGAAAAATTAATTGTATTCCGGATTCCATGTTCTGTATCCCTAGAAGTTTCAAATTGTCCGGATTCCAAATTCCGAATTCCCAGAATTAAGTTTTATTCCGGATTCCTAGATATTTTAATTTGTCCGGAGTCTATATTCCAGATTCCAGAAATCAATTGCATTCTGGATACCGTTTTCCAGAATCCTAAAAGTTTCATTCGTCCGGATTACGAGAAGAATATTTTATTTCATGTTCCGTATTCCGGATTCCATTTCCAAAAAAGTTATTCCGGACATCCATCTATGTAATCAGTGATTTTTCGTTGACATTTGTACATGCAAGGTGACATTCTGCTATGTAGTTCTGAATCTTACAAAACTTAATGAGACTAATGATGAATGTTCCACACTAAATGCTATTTCCATTTCTTGATCCGAATGAAAACCAATTAACCTAAAGAAGCTAGGAAAGTATGTCCAACTGCCAAAAAAGTTAAAAGATTCCCACGACACGACCCTTTTTCTTTTTGTGCTCCTTTTTGATGAATTCTAGTTGTCCATCAATGACTAATCGCACCTCTCAAACACATTTCGTCCCCTTTCCGCGTTTTTGAGTGAAAAGAAAGAGAGAAACGTACACACATACAACGGACCTACACGATAATTACCGTATTGGAATAGCGGTGATTGTCATGGCGCCGTCGTTTGAGGAACAGTGAAAGAGGCCTGTACTTATGAACAAACGTTTCGAATGAAACATGCACTGCCTCCTATTCCTCCTTCTATTTATATTATTCTCAATAGACAGGTATGAAATATTAAAAATTTGAATTCTCTTGATACGCTTATGATTTTATTCATGAATCAAAAATTCCTCAAAAATCGTTTAACCATCTGTCATCATGAAAAATGCAATGATCCATATCAAGAATACACACCGGAACCTCTCTTTTCTCCTTCTGATGTCATACTTATACTTACCATCTGTCATTTTTCTAATACCATTCGAAACATTCAAACCAAACCATAAACTTTTCAGGACACACCTGCACTTTTGAACTGGCTGTGAAGTTATTAAGAGGCTTGAAACTTTGACATTATCATTCTCTCGAATCATTGATAGGAGAATCATGAAGATTTAGAAGAATTGAGCAAAAGAAAAAAACTGAACGCATTGTGGTTTGTTCCGTAAGCCAAAAGGAAAAAAACTCGACCTCCATCTCCGATTTCACTATCATAAAACGTTTCATCGTGGACTAATGGTTGAGGGAACAGGAATGAACAATGCAGTATTTCTTCTGATTCTTCTTTTCCTTCTTCTCTTTTCTCAGATCGGATTAACTCTTTTATGTCAAGTTTTGAAGTGTGTGGAAAGTGTGGAATACACTACCGCCCCGCACCAAACCAATTAAACAAATATTTGCGGGCGGTCATCTTGGGAAAATTTTTTGATAGTTTTGAACAATGGCTCGAGATGATCTCTCTTTACTTTTCGTCGGCTCCTATTCTTCATTTTATGTGCTCACACACGATCCGATTTGACCTCGAATGGTCATTCTCATTTCCACGTCATCCATTCCATTCTGGTTCTGGTGAAGGAAGACGTTTACTGAATTATCTGGAAATCAAATCCAAACTTGGAAGTCTAATAAACGATGTTCAGGATGAAATTCAGAATCCTGAAAATTCCCAATCTTTTTTTTCAGGATTTGTTTTGAGCGGAACCACATTCAGTATTGTTGAGGTCCCTTTCTCTCTCAGTTTTCCGACCTCATCGAATTTATAAATCTCAGAATACTTTATAAATTCTCCGTTTTCATTAGGTATTCTGTTAAAAGTTCATCTGATCCTCCACGATTCTTGGTCCATCTTATATTTCCGTTTTGGTCAATATTTGATATGTCTTTCGTCGCTCTCTGCCAGTCCAGCACTTCTCGAATTGACACCCTCTCGGGTGGCCTGAAGTGCCTGAATATATGCATACATGCGTATATTTCTACTAGTTTCTTCTTCTACTTTGTCCCCCATTCCTTTCATTCTTCTCTAATTCCTTGATTGGAAAAACTAAAACACGAAGAATGAGTTCTTGGAAATGGTCTCTGATTTCCGTTGTTTTCTCTTTTTTGCTGTTCTTAGAAGGAAACCAAGATGAAACCAAGAAGAAGAAGGAGAAACTCAATTTTTCGCACCTAAGCTTAGTAAAGACAGAGGTTTAGTTGAAAGAAAAAATTAAAGTGAAACTCCTTGTTTGCAGAACTAAAATACTTAGAAGCCCGTTTTGTTTTTTCAAAATATTTAGATTTCTTCCCAATATGTCTCTTGCATTCCTCTATATCCTGTTGATCCATCATTTCATTTTTTTTCTTACCAATCCGTTCTCTTTTTCCAATAACAACTTTTTTCTTTGTGAGTTCTACTCAGCAATACGTTTTCTTGCTTTTTCTCACATAACAGTTTTCCAAGAATTTCCTTAGAACATTTTCAGTTAAAATCGAAAGTTCAAACTTCCATTTAATCAAGAATTTCTTCTCATTCGGCTTCTCGTTTTCCTCCAAATACATTTGCAAACACGTCTTCTTCTTCTTCTTCTTCTTCTTCTTCTTCTCCGTGTCGTCTTTTTCTTGTTTCCCGCTTAATGCCAATTTGTTAATCAGGCTCTCGGAGCACACAGACACACAAACATCACCTCTTGCTCTCTTGTGGCCTACTAACCTTACCGCATTTTTATGAATAGAAATAGCCCCCAAAACAACCAGTTCTATTCCCTATTTCTCTTATTAGTATTGAGTTTTGGTTTCAAGAAGTGTGAGAAGACCAGTAGCTTGGAGTTTCCACGAAACGATTTTCTGAATTTGTATTCAGATGAGGCACGTCAATCCGTCGCTGGGTGCCTCCATGGAGGCAGTAGTTCTTCCAAGCAGACACATCCATGGGATTCCCAAATTCTCTGTTTTCTTTCAATTATTCGTTGGAGAGGAAGTTCCTATTTTTCTAAAAATTGTGAGATGGACTTCGACATCAAATGTAGTATTCAAAATTTGCTTGTTTTTTACAAATCTCAGAAAAACACATTCAAAAATTGAATACCCTGATATTATACATCCACTATTATGCTAAAACAAAAAAGTCGGAGTTGTGGAAGAGAAACGCTGGTTGCCATGATTGAAGGTCCCACAACGAAAACTACCGTAACCAAAAAACATTTTTATTTTCAAGATTCATTTTCTCGATTTCCGTACATTTTCAGTCAATTTTCACTTAAAAATTATTTTATTTTTCCAACTTTTTAAATGAAAAAAAAAACAGAAAAATCGGCAAAAAGCAGTAAAAAAATTCCGATTCCGAAGTTAATAAATCTCCCCATCTAATCTCTGATCATTTCCTCCAGAACCTTTTCCTGCTCCTGTAAATGACAGTCTCACTCCGTCTGTACAATAATACAAACATCAAAATAACCGGAGCTCCGAACCCCTCAATTTATGACACTTTATTTCTTGTTCGTCTCTGTTCTCCGCCTTCAAATCGTTATCGAATCCATCTCAATGTGCCTCCGGATCTCCTGCTGTGTGCCAACCATAATCCTTCATCTTTTCCCTTTTGTTGTTTCGTATGTTGTACCGTTGTTTTGTCTCTCCCCACCCATACTCTTCGCCTTCTCTTCCTCATTTCTCATGTACTATTTATGACGTCCTTGTCCTCTTCATCCTTTTTGCCACCGGTGTTTCTTATTTTTCCGTTTTTCGGTTCTTTCATTTCCAAAATTAATTAGCTGGTAGGTTTCGAGACACCTAATTTCCTAATTTCGGCATCCCGAGAACCTCATAAAATTTTACACGTTTTTAGTCTCATATACTTTTAGGGAGTACTTTCAGAGGACCTCTCTCTCTCTCTCACTTAATAAGTTATGCAACACCAGATCGTTCAAAATTATTGGCCAGAATTTTTGCTCGTATTGTTTTTTCCCACCTCGTGATTCTTTCTTTCTTTTTTACTGTCTCCTACACGGAAAAAGCAGCATGTGAGAGCGTGTTAACTGATAATGATAAAGTTTTATAGAGAGAGCTCTGAAGAAATACCGCCGACAATATTTTTTGATTCTCTTCCTTCTCCTTTTTCTTATCGTGAAATTTCTCAGATCCCTCACTAATTCAGCATCTATTGTGATACTGAGAAGGGACTCTTCTTCTGCTCTTCAACTCTCCAACTCATTTTCTCCTCTTCTTGACACGAAAAATATGTCAAAAGTTGGAGCAAAATGTTTGACGCCTTCTTCTTCTCCTTCTTCAAAACTCCGCCCACTTGTTCCTTCTATTTTATTGTCATCTTTTCTTATTTCGGAAATTTCCCATCCTCCATACTTTCCCTCTCTTTTAGTGGGCTCCCTTCATTTTACGGTCATTTCTATTTTTAGAGTCAAAATGAAATTAATTTTATCTCAAAAATTCGACCTCTTTTCTTGCCTTTTGACCATTAGAGCATAAAGTTCTAAAACTCAAACACTCAGTTTTATCAGTTTTCACACACATATGATTCCCATTCAAAAAATAAGAAATTCGGTCTTGATTCCCATTCCCATGTAAACATGCAAATAATATTGTAAACATGGTTAGAAAAGTGGGCCACTATCGCTTTTCGATATTTACAACTTGAACAAACACGATTTCTCACCATTTTCAGGCTGCCATCCTGACATCTTCGCAGTCTCAAACCGGTATGATTTCGCTGACTCAGCAGGTCAACGCAGTCAGATTGGATACGCATAAATCAGATACATTTGAGCAGAATGTAAGTTTTTGAAATCATCCTCTCATGAAAAGTTTTTGGGTCCTTAAAACTAGGATTCTGGTGTTTCTTCGAAATTAAAGGGGACTCCTCTTGTTGACCTTATCGGTTGGAGGCACGAATATGAATAAAAATTGTTTATTCTCAACGTTTCGGCTTGATGCCATCTTCAGGAGAATAGGACAATTACCTACAAAAAATGAGAATAGAAGAAGTGGGAACCGGTGTAGGGATGAGTGAGGTAGAGGTAGAGAAAACCGTAAAAATTTTGCACGAAAAACGGATTGCCTATATCCTATCAATAAAGGGGACTCCGAACAAAACGCTTTTTCGGATTTTTTTTGAATTTTTTCGTAATAATATTAGAAAAATGAACAGCTTTGAAAACATTTTAATGCAGAGAAGTTCAAAAAAATGTATGGTTGGGGTCCCCCTTTGAACAAATTTCTGAAAAACAGCTCCGTTAAAACAACATACTCTTTTCAGGACCTTGTCCTCGACAATTCTGGAGCCGTTTTGTCTGGAAGTCGTGATGCTCTCATCCGTCGATTAGTTCCCACTCGAGACTTTTGTCCAGACGAAGCGTACATCTTCTCACTTCTAGTCAACATTCGAACGTTTATCTCTCCCCATGAATTGATGCAAAAAATTGTTCAGGTTCGTTATTCTCTTTCTATTTCTCCCAGTGGAATTTCTCCATCACAAAGAAAAAAGAGGAAATCTCTCACATTTGTCAGCTCAAATTGTTTTTTTCTCGTTTTGATCCGCTGCTTTCACTATGCATCAAGCCGTCCCAACGGAGCCTTTTTTCAGTATTGCATGTTCGCTCAAAATGCCGACTCTCACAATTTTGCGAAGGAAGGAAGAGGACGAATGTTCGCTCATATTCTGAGGTTATGCAGTGAATGGGCAACAAATATACCTTATGACTTTAAAACGGAATATATGAGAACAAGGTAGTAGGATCCATTTGAAACTGAATTTCGAACGGGTTTTTTCAGACTGAATGAGCTGCTTCGGTTATGTGCAGTGGACAAAACATACCAGCAAAAAACGACAGACTTGCAGGCAACATTAAGATCATCTGTAAGTAACTTCAGGAATTAAAACAAACTGGATAGTTTTTTTTTTTCAGCTAAACAAGCTCGATAGGTATGAAAAAGCTGTTGCCAACCTCCAAAAAGCGTTATCTGAAAATACAACTCTTCCAGAACAATCTGATAGCATGGTGAGAGTTTTGTGTAACTTGGTTCTTTAAACAATACAACGCATTTCAGACCGGATTGTTTCTAATGTGCAATGATGCCAAAACAGTAGCCCAACAATTGACACATATTGAAATGGAGAGATTCAGTATGGTTGGAGTAGATGAGATTGTTCAGAGTCTTGCTTCGGATCCGCTATCAGAAATCGGAAGGCATTCAAAGAATAAAGAAGGAGTTATCAGTTCAATTTCATTTTATATTGAATGGTTCAATCGATTATCTGCATTTGCAGCTATCGAAGTTCTCAAACAAACCAAGAAACGGTATGGTTCTAGAATCTGAGAGCTGGTTCAGAAGTTTAGAAAGTTTCAGAAATCGAGTAGCAGTTTTTGAATTCATGATTGATATTGCGAAAGAGTGTTGTGAAATTGGAAATTTCAATTCAATGATGGCAATTGTTGCTGGTTTATCACTTCCTGCAGTTAGTAGGCTGAAGAAAACAGTTAGTTGAATTGATAAAGCCAATTAAATATGATAATCCAATAATTCAGTGGTGTCGAGTTGAAAAATCAAAACTGGAAATACTACAGCATCAACTGGATCCTTCTGGAAACTTTTTGAGTTATCGTGCGACTATTAAAGCAGCACAATGGAGAGCTGATAGCGCAAGAGGAAATCAACCGAAAATCGTGATTCCCTTCTTTGTACTTCTCCTCAAAGATCTCTTCTTGATCTACCACGGACATCCGAGAATTCTTCCTAACGCTCATCTCAACTTTATGGCATTCAATCAGTTGGCAGAGCAGTTGAGGGATGTGATCCAATGGAAATCAACAATTTGTACATTTGAAAAAAATCCACAAGTTCTACAGTATCTTCTGATAACCGCAGTTTCTGGTGAAAAAGGTAAGCACTTTTTTCTTGAAAGCAATTTTGATTTTTTTTTCCCGACAATCTTAAATTTCCATTTATTTTCAGATTCAATGCTAATGTCATTCGAATGTGAACCACCTGAGTCATCATCAGAACGAGAACAACACAAAAAGCTAAGAGGCGGAAAATAATTATAATATCTCATGATCTTCCTGAATTCCATGTCCGTTTCAACTCATCTCATCCGTTGTCCTAGTCAATTTCTATACATGTTTTAACAATTTCTAGTCAAGTCATATCTATCGATAGTCTCTTTTTTCATTCCAATATTACACCAATGTATTCCCATAAGAATGGGTCTTGCAACGATCTTCATTTGAATCAAAATTTTAAAATAAAATTCAATTTTTTGGGTTGTTCTTTGAATAATTTGTTTAGATGTAATCAGAAAAAGGGAATGTTCGATGTTTATTATGAAAACGGAATAATCAATGATCGAATGAAGTCTTGCGGAAAGTTCCGAAAGGTTTCGAGTCACCAAGATCTGGAGTTTCGTTGGCCAGTTTGGTACGGTAGCGACGAGCTTCTGACGACTGGAATCACTTTTATTTTATTTTCTTCGAATGTTCTGTAGCTTACCACCATGAAGAAGCTTAGGATGAGCACAAAAATAAGAAGTACGTTCATTTTTTTTTCTCAAAAATTTTCCTAAAACCAGAAAATCGAGAACGATTTTTCGTTATGACCGTTTCCCTTTATATCCATAAAACAGCTCATAAAAATGGAAATACTGTGTAGGTGGAATGCAAATTCATCTACAGTTCATTTTTGGTGTTTGATATATTCGTCATCAGTGATCGAGAGGTCAAATCACACAAAATTAGATACTGTACGAAATGTACCGATTTCATTAGGCGTTTGATTTGCACAGGCGGGCTCACTGGCTAATAATTGTTTGTTTGTGACTTCATGGGGGTCACTATAAAATGGGTCACGGATTTGGGATGATTCAAAAAACAACTGCGTTTTGCAATGATTTCATCCAAACATCTCCTTCTCATCTCATCGATTCTGGTAGCTTCTGTACAAGCTGGAAGATACAGAAGACAAGGATTACCGACGCTCGGAGGATTGGGAGAGCTAAATGATCTACTCCCATGCAACGCATTCACAAGATGCAGTGGTAAAGGATTATGTCTTGGAACAGCCAAGCAATCCACGTGTATGTGCTTCCTGGGATGGACCGGAGATTCGTGTGACTCTGTTGCAAGTAGGTTCAAATCTATGATTGAATTTTCCGAATTTCTAAAATTCCAGATTTGATGGACCCATTCAATTTGTTTTCCAACAATAACAACAACCAAATGTTCTCCAATCTTTTCCCAACTACCAGTTCTTTAAACTTGTTGAATAACCCATTTGGTTTGGATGACGATGTTTTGGAGAGATGCACAGCAAGTGACTGTAATGGAAACGGAGTCTGTGTCGGATCGAAGAAGGCCCCACTATGCTTGTGTAACCTTGGAAAGACCGGATTCAAATGTGAAAGTGAAATCTCAGGACTTTGTAAGCCAATCTTGAAAACAATAAGTCCTTTTCTTTGATTTCAGTGAACATGGATCCATCAGCTCCAATCACATTCTGTTCTCCAAGTGATTGTAACAACAAAGGACTCTGTCTTGGCACAAAGAACAGTTTCTCATGTGCCTGTCAAATTGGATACACCGGATCCAAATGCGAAAAGACGCCAGTTGCACTCTGTGACGCCCGTGACTGCAGCTCAAATGGGTTGTGCATTGGAACTAAGGATGCTATGACTTGTGCTTGTTACCTTGGATATTCTGGAGACAGATGTGAAAAGAGTTAGTACAATTTGATAAGCATTAGAATTCATAGTTGATAGTTTCAGTTACTGGAACCATGTGTGAGGCTTCTGATTGTAATTCCAATGGTATTTGCATTGGAACCAAAAATATGAAGTCATGTATCTGTGCTCCAGGATTCTTTGGTTCGCGGTGTGAATCTAGATTTAGTGAGTCTTGACGTCTTCAAGTCTCTTTCCTAATCTTTATTATTCTAGCTATTCTTCCTGGAACAGAAGCTTTGTTCTGTGAGTCCAAAGATTGCAATGGAAATGGAATCTGCATTGGAAACAAACTTCTTCCAATGTGTATCTGTGCTCCTGGATTCACTGGACTTCGTTGTGAACTCGAACCACTTTGCACTGGAGCTCTTCAGTGTTCTGGAAACGGACTTTGTATCGGATCTCTCAAGTCTTACAGTTGCACCTGCAACATTGGATGGACTGGTCCAACTTGTGCTCAGAGCACACTTTTAGGATAAGAAACTCTACAAAGTTCTGAAGAAATTGTTTGTACATATCGAAAAACGTGTTTTCTCTCTTTAAGAAATAAAGATTTATAGTTTTATATGAGTTATTCAGTTTCACAAGAAAACAGAGAACAGATCAGATGTACATTGCATAAATTAGAAGGTTCTTTCTGATTACTGTAGTTCGAGTTGGGGTCTGATCAACTTCGCCTTGACCTCATTCGTAGCAGCATATCCGGTTCCTCCTCTTTGCAGCTCGATGATATCATCTTCGCCCATTGGTTCTCCGTTGATTGGATCCACTCCGTCTCCTTTTATCAACTTTTCCACGACGTCAAACTTGACAACAGCCTTTCTGTAAACCAATTCGACGTGAAAGAAAACTGAAGTTGTAGTGAAAACTCACGATTTCTTGAGATACGCGCATTTCGTAGTGTTTGTCAATTCATCTCTGGTAACTGGACACACAAATTTAGGCTTTGCTGAATTTTCTGTGCCTGGCATTGGAGTGAACTTCACTTCTAATAACTCCTTCATTTTGATTGGTTTTCCCGAAACCGGACACAGAACTTTCGAACTTGGCTTTTCCAGTTTGGTAGCAGCAGCAGTTGGATTCAGTTCTGGTATCCAGAAACTAGGAAGAGCAGTACTTTTATCTCCTTTCATGTTTGACATTGTTCCTTCCTCACCATGGGCTTTCACTTTTGCGGCTATTTCACTTGATATCACGCCTCCAGTCCGCTTCTAAATTTAAAAACAACGATACAAATAACAGCACATTTTAACGAACCAAAGATCCTGCCTCAACTTTTGGAGTTCCTATTGCTCCAGTCCTGCTAGGAGTACTTTCGATGGCCGAAAACTGTGTTTTTTTAGTGAAAGCTTCTGCTTGTCCCAAAGCTTGCACTTCTACAGCCTTCTCCTCAGACACTTGTTTCTCGTATTCTTTGAGTTTCTTTGCATACGCCTTCTTCTGTGCCAGAATGTTTTCAAGAATCGCTTCACGGTCGAAAATGTAGCCAGTTGGAGAAACTACTGGATTTCTGCATGGCTGAAGAGTCAGTGAGCAGCAATGAAACTCCTTAATCGAGTCTGCACCGAGACGAGCATGAAGAGTTCCATACCCGCTCGCCTGGAAATAAGTTCATTATTTCATCCTTGTAAAATTGCGGGCCGGCCCGGTGACAAAAATTTTGTCATTTTGAGCTCTCAATACAATTTTTTCTATATTTTTTTGTTTTTTTGATTGTTTGTCTGTTTGATCAAAAAAAAATCGAAAAAACTCGAAAAAAAATTTTTGATCGAAAAAAAAAATCACATAAGGGGTTTTTTGAAATTTTCAGAACTTGTGAAATGACGGGCCCGCCGGGCCGGGCCTCCAAAATTTGGGAAAAAAACCCGGCCCGGCCCGTTACAAGTATGCATTATTTGGGACTAATAAAATAAAAACCAACTTTTGCGTCTCTTCGTCGCTCATGGTAGGTGTAAACCGAGGCTGCTGTGGAGTTCTTTCCGTGGCGCGTCATGAAACTGAAATTTACGAAATACGGAATAGAAAAAGAAAGTATAAATATAAGGCAGAATTATTCCGGAAATGTTTTGGGCCCAATCAAAATAGGATCCAAGTGCTCGAGCAAATAGCTGGTAGAGCAAATAGCTGGTTTCTAGAGGAATAATTAAAAATCATTTAATCGGTCACAATACACTAAAAAACCATTTACCGTTTTAACTTTGAATAACTGAATAATCAATTGCAATTTATTTAATACTGCTTTTGGGCAAAGAATCCTATCCATGTCGATTTACGCTAAAGAACGCGCTTGCGGGATGTCGGAGCATCGTTGTCGTATTTTTGAGAACGCTCTTTGAAACTTTTATTTTTGTTCGAGGAACATATTTTGCACTTTTTGTTGGTTGTTTTCTAAAAACTCCTTATTTATCATTCGGGAAATAAAAAAGCTATATTCTAATCACCTCGACCATCTGCAAGTGCATGCTTTCCACATTCATATTCCAAAACTGTAGTCGTTGCGATTCATTGAAGCATTTGAAACCCTTTTAACGCAACGGTATATGACTTTCAACAACTTGACTGCTTTTGTTGGAACCACTTGACCGATTTTTGGTGAACGTATTTCAGAAAAGTGAATGGTTCTCCATTTCAAGGCATTGTGGTTGACCATCACAAACAGTGTACATGTTTTGTTTACACCGTTGAAATGGAGTGGGAATTGTTGTTCTGTCGAATTTGAAAAGTTTGTTTGCAAATCAATATTTATGTGGCCAAATATAGGCAGACAGAAGAAGAATTTTCAATCTATTCTGGCATCACTCTTGTATCTTTCTCTCCTGTCTTTCTTCTTCTTCTTTTTTGACGACCAGGGTCACATCAGCTGCGTTTATTTTGCAATTGGTTTCTATCTTCCCTTTTAACTGATTTGTTCTTGTCATTGATTGCTGCCCAAAACAAAAAGTTTCTAACTTCGGGGTGACGATGGCCAACAAGAACGTCTCTCCAGAAGAGCAGGCTGCTGCACAAGCTGCAGATGAAGAAAAAACCAAAGAAGAATTAGAATGGGCCGAGAAAGGATCATTATTATGCAGGATTAAAAAGTGAGTTTTTTTTTAATATTCAGCAAATGGCATAAATAAAAATTACAGTCAAAAAGTGAAGGAGATGTCTTTAGTGACTATCAAAAGCAAACAATTCCTCAACTACTATTCAAGTTACTGGTTCAATTTTGTTCCGAATGCACTGAAATCCGTTGCGTTGTCTGAACTACTCGAAGTTCGATCTGGCTATCAAACCGATAATTTGCAAAGAGCGTCGAAAAAGTACGAATTTCAAGAGTTGGCACCAGAATCAAGATGCTTCTCTGTTATCTTTTCCCATGCTAAATTCCTACACAAGTCGGTTGATTTTTGTGCCGATTCCAAAGAAGTAAGTTTAAATTTTCCATCAAAACAGTGACCGAAACAAGCTCAATCAGTGTTTCAGACGCGCGACAAATGGGTTTCCGTACTAACTCATCTCATATCAGTTGCCAAACATCAACGAGTCGTCTTCAACGAAACTGCTTGGCTGATTGACAAATTCCAGCAAGCAGACACCAACAAAAATGGTCTTCTTTCATTCGATGAAGTTTGGAATCTTCTCAAAAGAATGAATCTTCAAATCAGTGAAAGATATGCAAAAGCAATCTTCAGGGAGTCAGAATTGGAAGATTCAAGGGATAACAAATTGAATGAAAAAGAATTTCTCAATTTTTTCGAACGACTGACAGACCGTCCAGATCTTCGTTTTGTGATGACGCAAGCTAGTTCTGATAATGTGGAAACGTTAACTGTCGCAGATTTGCAAAGGTTTCTAACAGAAGAACAAGGTGTAAGTTACTTATATCCGTTATCTCCTCACAGATTTTGTGTTCCAGTTTGAAAAAGTTGATCTGAAGAAAGCCGAGCAAATCCTTGATACCTTCGAACAAACCGTGCAAGACAAACAAAAGGAAAAGTTGATGGGTCTGATGGGAATGCGGAGATTGATGCAATCCAGATGGGGAAATGTATTCAAGCCAGGGCATGAAAGTATCTTCCAAGATATGGATCAACCACTCACCCACTACTTTGTCAATTCATCACATAACACATATTTGACGGGGTTGCAAGTGAAAGGAGAAGCGACAGTGGAAGGCTACATTTCTGCGTTGAGGAAGGGAGCAAGACTACTGGAGTGTAAGATTCACTTCATTGGAAAATATTTCTAGAGAACATTTTTTTACAGTAGATTTGTTTGATGGTGAGCATGGAGAGCCAGTCATCACTCATAAAAGGACATTCATTGAGTCAATCACACTGAGAAACTCATTAGAAGCTATCAAGGTAAACTAATTCATCATTTTCAAATCGAAACAAATATTTATCGTTATAGAGAACAGCCTTCGAAACATCTCCGTATCCTGTGATCTTGACTCTCGAAAACCACGTTGGATTCGTGCAGCAAACAGTAATGGCGGAATTGTTCAAAGAAATTCTTGGAGATTCTCTATACATTCCACCCAAAGATTCACATCGTCATCCATTGCCATCACCAAACAAACTCAAACGAAAATTCCTTTTGCGCGGAAAGAAAATCATTTTGGAAGAAGATATTGAGGAACCGGATGAGGACGACTCACCAACTGATAAGGACAAGCATCATGTCCATCCTCATCCAGTTTCTCCTGAACTCTCGGCTCTAATTGGATTGCCATCTGTGAAATTGAGTCATAACATCTATCAAGATGTTCACAAACGTAATTTTTTCCAACTAATCCTTCAAATTTCAAATTTTTTCAGACCCATTCGATGGAAGTCCTTCTCTGTCCGAGAACAAAGTTTACACCATGTTCGAGGCTGCTGTCCCAATATTCACATACACTGCAGAACGGCTGGTGAAGAGTTATCCAAAAGGCTTGCGTCAAGATTCTTCCAATATGCATCCGATCGTTTCGTGGTTGTGTGGAATTCAAAGTGTTGCTATGAACTTTCAAACTGCTGGAGAAGAATTAGATCTGAATGCAGGATTGTTCAGAAGCAATGGTAATTGTGGTTATGTTTTAAAACCAGGGTGTTTGCTGGATGGAGTTGATCCAAGAAGTATGTCAAAACCAAAGATGAAGCTTGGCATTGGTCTTTTCTCGGCGCAATATCTTCCAAAATCAGAGCCTGGAAAGGAGATCATTGATCCATATGTTAGTGTTCAAATCTTTGGAATTCCACGTGACGAAACAAAGGCAAAGACCAGAATCATCAAGGATAATGGATTCAATCCAGAATGGAGAGACAATTTCTATTTTACGCTCTGTTGCCCAGAGCTTGCCATTCTTCGATTCTGCGTGAAAGTAAGCACTTTGTCCTAATTCTTCATTCATGTGAGCATTTTTAGGACTTCGATTCTACTTCATCCAACGATTTCGTCGGGGAGTTTTCAATTCCAGTGATGAGTCTTCGCACCGGTTATTCCCAGATTCAGTTGAACACTGGATATCAACACACTTTGGATCCATCTGCATCCCTTTTTGTCAGAATTGCAATCGAGGAGGAATATTGATTTTGTTATTGTTTTTCTATTGCTGATGCTAAATTTCTTAGCGAGTTTTTCCTATCACCTGTGTGTTATTTGATTACATGTAATATGTTTTACTGCCGTAATTTCCTTTCCGCATAGTTCTGTTTTGTGTATATTTTCATAAAGTTTTTATTAAAAGTTAAAGTTTAAAGTTTCTTCAGTTATTTAAAGATTCGTATCATTGCATTTGCTGCAGATTTTCAGCTAGCCATTTCTGAAAAGTTGGGATTTTGGAGGACGGAAGAAGAAACTGATCAAACAAACAATCGGATTAGCAGGACGCTCCACAGCAAGCCGAGCAAGTCCTTGACTGAGTTTGGGCCAGACTTCCACAGAGAGATAATCTTTTGCATGTTTTATCATTAATTTTTCATCAACGTCTGAAAATAAGATTTGAAAGTTTCAGAATAACCACATCGTTGCTTACATTTAGGATAGAAGAAGAGTGTATCGTGATAGGCAGCAATTGTGGTTTTTGAATAGTAGATTCCATTTTTTGAACTCATTCTAAACCGTAAGCTTTTCAAATTTAAAAAAAACTCTAATATTTTCTGAATTCTCTAACAACTTCAAAAAAGAAACTCTAAAATAACACAAAGACACATGGACAATGTAGTTTTAGTGTATTGTTATTGTTTCGCAACAAACCTGTTTGCAATCGCATTGTGATATCTAGCAACTCCTGTCATCTCTATGAAAGCATTTGCTCTTTGACACAAGAGAAGCATGCAGGGTCCGTCACTTAATCTATCTGAGAGCCCCCAGATGTCTTGTGATTCCAAGTCAGCACTTTTCCATTCCAAAACATCTTCGGGTTTAAAGTTCTTCACAGACTTCTATTCAAGAAAAAACTATCAAAAATTATCTTCCTAATTAGACAAACCTCTACTATACCAAAATTTTCTTTGACCAAGTGCTGGAGAACAGATTCATATTCATAGAAGTAGTTTGGAAGTATAATAACAACGAGTCTCTCAATTAAGTTGAGGTTTTCTAACTGCGGTTTCGAGATTTCGGAGCGGTACATGTCCGAGAAAAGGGCAAGTGTGAAATGCTGAATGAGGTGATGCGGAATTCATTCTCAACTCTATTTCCAATTTCCGGCTTTACTTCCTGGCCAGGGCACTCTGTTCAACGTTTGAATTAGCTAGTTAACCATGAACTGCTTTGAAGGACTTATGACAAGATATGATAGAATCGGAAAAAACAGATGTTTACGTTTTCGAAGCTATTATTAGTTTCAGATATATATTCCGATTTTTTGTGCTCTGAAAAGAGTAGTCTTGTGTTGCTTCTTCTTTTTCTTTGGTGTTTTGTTGACATCACACGGACGCGCTAAATTTTGAAAATCCGCCAAAGGTTTCAATGCTTTTCTTGGCGCTGCGGTCGCGATGCAGTTGCCAGTCTGCGTTTCTTTGTCATCGCGTGGTGTCTCGTGACGGGCGGTTGGCGCACCACTGTGCTTGCCTTTGAACTCTAAATACGCAGTTTGTTGTTTGCCTGCCTTGTGGCGCGATTTGTTCTTTCACAAAGTTGTGACACTGCCCGTATTTATGTTCTTTCCTCGCTTCTGTATCTCCTGATAAGATATTTAACGGTGCAGTTAGAATTCCTCATTTTGAAGAAGAGAGTTCATTTCGTGGTGCCTCAGCTGCCACAAGGCGTTGACTCATTTTCTCTCTTTCTTTGAGTCTCTCCGTAAACTCTGTTGTTGGTCCAAACAATTGACCCCCTTCTTCCACAAACTTGTTTCTATCTTCTTCTTTCTATTTTTCTTCAGTGGCCCTTTCTTTCCTTACCAAATATTTCAAACTGAATAACTTTCAGAAAATGGCCCCACCAACCTTCGCTGATCTTGGAAAGTCCGCCAAGGACCTCTTCAATAAGGGATACAGTGAGCTAAATGCGACATGCGAATATGAATAAAGTCAATGATTTTCAGACTTCGGATTCCTCAAGGTTGACTCCACCACCAAGGCCGGAGACAACAAGGAGGTTGAATTCAAGTCCAACGCGTCCCACAACCTCGGATCTGGAAAGCTTGGAGGAAACCTCGATGTCAAGTACAAGATCCCACAATACGGTAAGTGCAAAGTTTGATCGATGTTCTAAAATTCTTAATGACTGTCTCAGCAATATAGAACAGGAGAGGCGATGTAGTTGTCACGTGGTTGCTTATAGAACACAGCGCGCACGGGATATGATCTCTTAATAAAAATAAGAAAACAAAAACAAAGCAGTGATGTTATAATTTCAGGAATCACTTTGACTGAGAAATGGAACACCGAGAATCAACTCGGAACTGTTGTTGAGATCAATGAGCAATTCGGACGCGGCGTTAAGGTCACCCTTGACTCGCTCTATGCTCCACACGCTGGAAAGAGAAGCGGAAAGGTTAAGCTCGACTGGGCTCTCCCAACTGCCAGAGTGAGTAGTCTTCTACATATATTGGGCGATAAAGCAGGTGGCTCACAATTTAAGCTTGATTGGAAGCGAGATACTTTTAGGGTTCGATTTTCTATGCATGAAATAAATACTTCCGTTTGCAAAACACATAGATTCTAAAATTCTTTCTGAACTTCAGATCACTGCTGATGTTGGAGTTACCTCTGCTCCAGTTGTCAACGCTTCCGGAGTCTTCGCTCGCGATGGATGGCTCATCGGAGCCGCTGCCACATTCGACTCCCAGTCGAACAAGCTGGCCGCTACATCCTTGGCATTCGGACACTCTACTCCACAATACACTCTCCATTCCTTCGTCATCAACTCCAACGACTTCGGAGCTTCCCTCTACCACAAGGTTGCCTCTAATGTTGAGATCGGAACCCAAGTTGGATGGAAGGTAGAATTTTCAAAATTGCTTTCATGACGATTATATTTTCATTAAAGGTTGGATCCAACGGAGCAGATTACGCTCTCGCCACCAAGTACTCCCCAAGCCGCGATCTTGCTCTCCGCGCCAAGGTCAACAGCTCCTCCCAAGTTGCCGTTGCTGCCACCCACTCGCTGTCCCCAGCTCTCAAACTCACCCTCTCCACTCAATTCAACCTCGCCGCCAACGACGCTCACAAGTTCGGACTTGGACTCGAATTCGACCCATCCAACTAAATTCGCTCACTTCTTTTCTCATAGCGTCCAAAAAACTTTTCATAGTCGGCAACTTTCGAGTTTTCCATTGTCCATTTATGTTCTCTAATTTTTGAATACAAGTAATATAATGCTATTTCGACTGCTAAAATCTTTAAAAATATAAATTATTGAGTTTCATTGGTAAGACTGAAAAGAAAATAGGGTTGATATGTACAAAACAATCCATGGGTTCTCGCGGAATGAAGAGAGAATAACCGTTTTCTGTTTTGGAATGGGAAAATGGACTTGGATAAATTGGTTGGGTGGTTACACATTTTCATCATTGGGTAAAGGTGTGTATGGTGGATCAATAGGATTATTGCGCCAGGAGAGATGCAAGTTTGTTGATGAAGGACGGCGTGAACCAATTCGTGATCCGATTCGAGAGTTTCCAGCAGTGTTTGCATGTGTGAGGAAGAGCTCTTTGGAAGCTTCCGACATCGTGAAAGATGGTCTTCTGCTGGTGGCTGCAGACTTCAACATCTCGATTTCGCCTTTGATTTCTGTTTTGTAATCATGGCGAGCATCAGCCTTATCCAGTTTTTTCTATAATATAGCGGTTGTGAAATCTAAAAATTGATTCTCAAGACAAACCTGCAACAGATGTTGAACTATGGAAGCAGCGTACGCATCTCCAAGTACATTCACGGCAGTTCGGACTCGATCTCTGAATTTCTGTTCCTTTTGTAAATTTACTTTTTGCTTGAAACTTACAAAAGCCAATCGACTGTAAACAGCATAGAAACATCTCGAACGGGTAACCCAACGGTGTTCAGGATGAGGAGAATTGAAACTAAACCAGCTGGGACTGATCCTAAACCTATTGAAGCAATGGTGGCTGTTATACTAACAGTAAGAACTTCTGCGAGAGACAGTTGAACATTGTTGAGTTGAGCAATGAATATAACAGCCACAGCTTCATACAAAGCGTTTCCATCCATGTTTATTGTGGAGCCGAGCGGAAGAACAAAACGAGAAATTCGACGATCCACTCCACAATGATCTTCTAGACACTGCATTGACATTGGTAGAGTGGCACCTCTGGAATTTACACGAATTGAATGCTATTTTTGATTTTAAAACTTTCAAACTCACCCCGAAGCAGTTCCGAATGCAGTAACAACTGCCTGAATCATTCCCTTAAAAATAGGAAGTGGATTCTCTCTTGTGATAAAGAAATACATCAGTGGAACGGTGATGATTGTATGAAGAACCAATCCAGCGCAAACAGTGAAGACGTACAGAGCTAGAACAGATGCAATATCCGATATATCATCTAGTTCCAATAGATTTCCACAAATTAGACAAGTGATTCCAAGTGGAGCAAACCACATCAAAGTGACGACCCATCTCATGATAACGGCATCCAAAATGACAAAAAAGTCAACAACTATCCTGGCACGTTCTCCTAATTGGGAGATGACAATTCCGAAACCAGTACAGAATACTATTATTCCTAGAATATTCATTCCTTTTGTCATTCCAATTGACCGTTTCACTATTATGTTTGTCCCATTTTTTGAAGCTATCTTTGGCCGTATTGCTACATATGTAGTCTGCATTCTTTCAAATGTTGCTTGAATTATGTTCTCCGGAAACATATTTCTAACAAGATCCAAAAAAGTGTCCAATGGAGACACATTTCCTTCAGATGGTGCATCTGCGATGTCGGTTCCTTTGATCGATGGGTCTCCAGGATGGATTACTGTAACCAGGAAGATACCGAGCTGAAAACTGTTTCGAATTTCAATCGAAATCCAGTTGATAATAACGTACCAAAGTTGCTAATACGGCAGTGGAGAGATAGTAGAGTACGGTAGATGCACCCATCTGACCTGATTCCTTCGCGTCCATTTGAGCCAGAGCTGAAGGGATACGCAATTCAAAAAGTTTGACATTTCAGATTATAATTAAAATTGCTCACCAGAGATTAGAGAAGAAAAAATGAGTGGAAGAATCATCATTTTGAGAACCTGCATGAAAATCTCTCCGGGAAAATTAATAAGTTGCAGAGTCTCTTGTGACAGATTCAACGGACGAAGACCGAATCCCAAGACAACACCAAGAAATACAGAGAACATTGTCATTACAAGAAGAGTATTCTCTCGGCAGAACTGCACAATCTCATCTCGACGCTGCGATTTCATTTCTCCAATTTCTCCTCCGAAGAAGCTGAAAATTAATATCAAACGGAATAATGAAAATCTAGGTGAAAGTGATTGATTTCAAGAAAAAGGAGAATGGAATGAAAGATTGGCTGGGTACGTGTGCATGTTTACAGGTGTAATTAGACACAAGATTAGAGAGAGGAGGAACACGCGGAAGCTGGTTGCGGAAGGGTTGAGGAAAGAGAAGAGAGCAACCGGAAAGGTGACGATGTATGAAAACGGAATGTACATGTGACCCAGAGGGTTTGAAGTTTCGAGAACTCGGAAAGATTAAACTAGTGGTTTTAAGTGGTATTGGTTCCTGGAGACTTTTAAGATGTTTTGAAGTTTTCAGTGCAATCTCGGTCATTGTTAGGTTATTTCGAAAATATCTATATAAATATTAACATTTGTTCCTGTTTAATAGTCAATAAAAAGCCAAGAATCACTGTTTTTCCTACATTTTCTATTTTCTCAGATATTTCAACTCTACCGTAGACACTCTAATAGAGCGCTACCCAAACGATCAAATTTGAGTCTATATATCTGAGTTCCTGTGAGAGATATCAAGAAGTGATCAACTGACAAAATGTTAAGCATAATATCAAAAATATTTTGTTAGTTAATCACTTTTTCATATCTTTCACATAAGCCAAGATAAATTGGCTCAAGCTTGAAACTTTCTTTTACAGTTTCACGGTAAACCTACAACTTCTATATTTTTCAGATCTTCAAATCTACAGGGTCCGCCAAAATTACGTGTGCACAACTTTGACGCCATGGCGCTGCGCACTGACGCACTTTTGGTGCGCAATTTTTTAAAATTTTTATTAATTATTTCATTATTTATTAGTTTGCCAAGTTTCATCCCAATCGGTTATGTTTTAGGTAAATGACAGCAGCAAGTCCTCATCGTACTCTGATCGTCGACTTTTACAAGCGAGGTTTAAGCACAGGAGACATTTCTAAACGACTCGGAGTGCACCGAAACACGGTTTTCGCGACCATCCGTCGTTTCAACCAGCTTGGCCACCTCAAGGACCGTACGGGAAGAGGAAGACCGAGGACTGTAAAAACTCCAGCGAAAGTCAAGGCCGTCCGGGAGAAAGTCAGGCGAAATGCTCATCGTTCCATGAAAAAGATGTCAGATGACATGGATATCTCCTATACATCAATGAGGAGAATTGTCAGAAAAGAGCTGAAGATGACCTCTTATCGAGCAACAAAAGCTGCTATTCTATCCCAAGCCAATAAGGAGAAACGGCTCATCAAAGCGAAGCGCCTTCTCGCTGGCACGCGCAAAAAGGATCATCTTATCACCATCTTCTCGGACGAGAAACTCTTCAGTGTCGAGGCTGAATTTAATAGCCAAAACCACCGAGTGCTGGCCACAAATATTCAACAAGCAGCTGAGCGTGGTAAAACAATCCATCGAGCCTCTCATCCTGCGAGCATCATGGTTTTCGGAGCGGTTTGCTATGATGGGAAGTGTCCGCTTGTTTTCGTTGATAAAGGCGTGAAAATCAACCAAAAATACTACGTTGAGGAGATTCTGGAGAAGCATGTGCTACCGTGGGCTCAAAACCACTTCGGTCAGAAGAAATACATCTTCCAGCAAGATGGAGCGCCTGCTCATACCGCAAAAATGGCTCAACAGTGGTGCAAGGACCACTTCCCCGCCTTCATACCAAAGGACGAATGGCCGGCTTCGTCGCCTGATCTGAACCCGCTCGACAACTCCGTATGGGGAGTTCTGCAGAATAAGGTCTGCGCAAGACCTCATGCAAATATCGAGGCCCTGAAGAAGTCGTTGTCTGAGGAATGGGACAAATTATCCGTCGAATACCTGCGTGCCACCATTGATGCCTTCCCTCGACGACTTCGTGCCGTGGTCGCTGCCAAAGGAGGTAGAATCGAATAATTTTTGTTGAATTATGATTTCAAGCGTTGAAATAAACTATCTGTTAAATTTCGTCTTAATCTCGCATCTACTTCTGGAGATAACGTCATCTACACTTGCACACGTAATTTTGGCGGACCCTGTATCTGTTTACCATGTTGATAACCTGGTTCTATGAAAATTTAAAACAAAAACTGTGAAAAGTGTTCCTGAATAAGAGTGTACATATGAAACAACTGAATATAAAATATACACCAGGAATCGATGTTTGTGTAAAACTGTCGGCGTCGACTGAATTACCCGACACTGGAGATTTTTAATGTTATGCTAAAATTCGATTTGCGTCATTTCGCACTATTCCGTCACTAGTTTAAATCTGCTTATTGTACGTTCGTCATGTATTCTGTACTCACGATTCGAGAAAATCAGGGTCCGTTTGAATTACCACGCAAAACCTGAAATAGAAGGGCCCCAACCCTGCCAAGTCTGAGCTCAATTATCTCAATTCCTATGCAAGATATCAAAAATATGTCTCCTGGAAAAATATTTATCAGTGGACAACTTTTACATATCTTTGACAGCAACTAAGAAAAATTGCTCCTTTCTACAGTTTTTGCGGTTATCCAAAATGTACCGTACTTTGAAAATATATTTTTTTTTAATAAAAACTTTCCTTTGTAATTCATGATTATCCCTTTTATTGAACGTTTTCGATTCTGGGAAGATTTTCAAATCTCAAAACTTCGGCGAATTTTTCAGATGTTGACTAAAACTATGTTCCTATATATAAAGCACATGTCCACGATTCTGATTCTATTCTTTGTTTATGTCTTGTTTTGAAAAATACCCATTAACTTGGGCGCAACCCCTCAAACCATAATATTCTTCAGTCTAGGAATTCCCTTTTTTTATTTGTTCTTCCTCCACAAAAAGTGACAAATCTGTGACTTGCAGTTGATGTGTTGGGTGATAATTTCACACCTTTCTTCTTCAAAAAAGCCATCAAAAAAATCATAGAATTTGTGCAATCAACCCATCATTATAACCCTAGTTCTTGTTCAACACCTTCGAATACCTGCCAAAAGTCAAGATCAAAAAATGTGTCTTTGGAAGAGAAACATCACCATCATGCAACAGTAAAAGAAAAAGGAAAACGCATTAAAATTTTAATGTCTCCATTGATAGTGTCCCAATAATTACTCGGAGACAGCGGTACCCGGAGGAGCATTATCATTCTCACCTCTATTTTTATATTTCCACTACCGAATTCCGGCATTTTTCTTCTCTACCATTTTTCGTTCTTGATCTCCGGAGAAGATTGAAATAGAATGGGAATTCAAAAATGGGGAAAACATGTCAGTTTGTTTTGAGATTTTCAATGAGATTACTGTACTCTCAATTTTCAGATTCATTATTTTTGCACTATAACCTTGTACCTGATTTTCATACTTTGTATATTTATGAACTTTTATGTCCTTCTGAGTAGAGAAGATACGATTTACTATTTGAGAATCTATCACTTGGTGAGTCCCAATCTTCTCATATGTTCGTCATTCTCATTTTCAGATTGTTGCTCTTTTGATGTTTTGTTGTGGTATTATTGAAATCGAATTTTTATGGAGAACCAGAAAACTTCCAAAACTTGATGAACCTCATGAAATCCCTGATCCGGCTTTGATTGGAGCAATAGCTCTGACTCTTGGAATAATGTTGGGCTATTTGTACTTTATTGTTTTCGATTACGCTTTTCAAAGTTGTGACAAATTAGTTGATGCTCTATATCCATCGGAATTATTTATCGAAGCAATTTATGATGTTTTGATGGCAACTTTTTCTGGATTATCATTGGTTTACATACTCCACAGAAGGTTTTATGGAGCTATTAGTTCTAATTTGGATAAAGTAGGGCGGCTTTTCATCAATATTACATTTGCTGTTGTTTGGATGAAGGTGGTCATTTACAAAGGATATTTGAGTCATCAGGTATTTAAAACAAAGATGTTCTGAATCTTATCACTTTCATTATAGGAACTATGCCAACGAAAAGAGCTTGAAGGCTACTGGTGTCCTGTTATCAAACGACACTATGAATGTAATCCAGCTTCGGAACTTCATGGAACTCAAAAAATGTGGTATTACATTAACAAAGGACTTCTCTCATCTTCTATCATCTCATGTGCTTCCGAATTCTTCCCGATTCTACTTGTAACACATTGGCTTGCTTGTGGAGGAGCTGAAGAGAGAGCAGAGGATATTGAAAGGAGGATGAAGGTATCTGACGGAGATTTCGGAATATTTCAAGTTGAATTTCCAACCAATATTTTTTTCAGAGAAAAGAAGGTGTTCGTGGAATGCTTCGAGAATTCATGAAAGATGTATCTCGAGTCTACGTGGAGCATAGTGCTCTAGAATCTAAGCCACTGATCATCAGCAAGTATCTCGTTTGGTTTTTTATTCTTATCACACCGATTGTCATGATTATGTCCACACTCAAATGGCTCTTCTACTTTTACTACACTATAGGTATTGCCAGATGATCTTGAACTTTGAAATTGATTCTGATCTTTTTCCAGACTTTGATGATTTGGTGAATGAACATTATATGACCAATGACTATATCAATTTAGCTGCAAACGTTTGTCAGGTTTTCTTCTTTGGAGCGGTGAGTGCCCTTTCAATATATTTTTGCAAGAGTTCTGTGAATTCTCTGAAATTTCAGTTGTACGCCTTCTCCACAACCATCGCTAACGAACGTCTTGATGCTCATCACAAAGCACATGCCAGAGGAGACATTTCCATTTTATTCGGATGTTGTGTCGTTCTTTTCATCAAATTGGTATGTTTCTCTAAATTTTCAAAAATCATGACTCCGTTATCAACTCGGCACACTTACAGGGTCATTTTATAGGTGTGATTTTTTGGGCTCCGTTGACAGTCGTGACCTAGTTTTTTAATAGCGTAGATAACAGAAACCATTTCCTGTTTCTGAACTTTGGAAAGACCACAAAGCAAAAAAAACACTTTCTTACAGATTTTGCAATCTGTGGAAATCGAGTATCAGAGAATCGACAACTTCATTATTCTATCAGATGCAATCATTCAAAATGTCAATCTTGTAATGGTGCAAGTGGGTAAAAAAAGTCAATAAAAACGAAAAAAAAAGGAATTTCAGGCGACACAATGGCTACAGTATTTTGCAGTTCGCCGGTTACTTGCACTTTCAGATAAAGATTGTATTGCAACTAAACGATTCCTACCGCTGGCATTCCTCGCGGGTCTTTTGCTTGCATGGATTCATTTTGGTGTCACATTTTTCGAAACTTCACTTATCAAATATCAATTGACAGATGAGAAATTTCCGTGAGTCTTCAAAAAAAGAAGTTCGTCAACCTCAAATTTTCTATTTATTTCAGGTTCTCAAGTACGACTCTCATTTGTATGATATTCACACAAACCTTGTTCCCAGCTGACTATCTTTTTGCATTCACTGTCTCTGGATGCTATCTAGAATTCCTTCAGAGATATCTAAATATGGGATACTTCCAGCTCGGAGAGCCAAGAGTAAATGTCACCCATGGGCATGGACATGATCATGATCACGATCATGGTCATGGTTCAGTGGATCACGAAAACAATGAGGTGAGTTGGAGTAATCAACATTCTGGGAAAATACAATCTTGTTCAGGAAGATCATAAAAGTAAAATCGCATCAATGCTGTATGCAGCAAGTGTGTTGCACAGAAAACGATTCGAGGAGCGAGGGAATAGCGTAAGAAACTTTGGTTTGAGATTTTGCGAAATTTCCGGATTTCTTTCAGACTTCATCATCAGAAGTGTCTCCCAGAAGTACAGTATCTTCAAAAGAAGACTGAATCCACAAATCAAAAGATCTCATGTACAACTTCTTTTAATATGCATCCGTACCGTTGAAGCTATTTTCTGTAATAAAATTTTCTTTTCACTCTGAACAAAAATTTTTGGCTTTCTTCTCTTTTTTCTGAGTATTTGGAAATTCATCATCGTCAGCTCTGTGATTTTTAATTCACTAGTAAATTTGAACTGATTCTCGAATTTCCTAAAAACAAAACCATTCGAGAAAAGGTTGTGAATCGAAAATGAGGATTCAGTTGCCAAATGTTGCTTTTGTTGCTGTTTGTTCCAGTTATTTTTTCTCAGGTAATCGTTTGATTTTTGAATTAGAAACTGGAAAAATCATCACTGGAAACATAATAAGGACGTTTGCCTTCGAGAAGATTACGTTTTCGTTTCACTGGAAGAAACTGCAATCACAGTATTTCCTCTAATAGAAGCCCACCCAAACCGTCAACTTTAAGCTCAATTATCTAGACTCCTGCGAAAAAACATCAAAATGTTGTCAACAAATTAAAAATTGTTCATATTATGATAAATAATTTATCAGTTGACATACTTCGGATATCTTTTACAGGAATCGAAATAATACAGCTTAAAGTTGACGGTTTCGGTGGACTTCTAATAGAGGAAATACGGTGACCCACTATCCTTTAGACGGACACCCCGTATGATTGTGGTGCTCATGGGTATTGTTATCCTGCCAATCGAACATCTGCCACAACTTGTTCCGGATGCACCTGCTCCGATCAATCAACACAAACATCTGATACAGTTTGCACCGGCCCAACCAGCTGCTCTCCGAGCCCTTGCACTATTTCCAACCAACAATGTAATATTGTTGATGACATTCCAACATGTACATGTGCTGCTGGGTACACTGGAACTGACTGCACCATGCGTAAGAGCTAGTGTCTAGTTTCTGAGGAAATAATTGTTGCAGTGACAAGTGACCCGTGCTCCCCCCAACCATGCTTACAAAACGGAGTTTGCTCATCGTCAGGAGGAACTTATACGTGTGCATGTGCTACTGGTTTCTATGGAGAACAGTGTCAATGTACAGTAGTTATAAAATTTGAACACGATTTTCTTTTTAAACAGATTCTGGAGATCCATGTACGGGATATTGCCAAAATGGCGGAACTTGCTCACTCATATTCAGTGAGACTACTCCTTATTGCCAGTGCCCTTTTGATTACTATGGTGCAACTTGTGGAACTGCTCGAAGTGTTCAGACATCCTATGTCGGATGTTATGATGATTCATCTGCCACATTCACTGATTATTACGTTTATTCAACTACTATCACGAAAGGAAATGATTGTAGAGATGCATTGATCACTTACCGGGAAGCAAATCCAACATCGAACTACGCTTACTCTAGTATGTTACTACTTTTCCGACTTCCAATGATAACAAGTTTTCAGCAATGTCTGGCACCAAAGGAGAATGCCTCTTCTCCACTACCAACACTCTCACGGATCCTCCTAATGCTGGATTACGTAAGCATCTCAACATTTGATCTCTCACTTTTCTGGATTTTCAGTTGGTGGACTCCTTGCTGCTCTACTTGCCACGTGCTCATATTCTGATATGAATTCCGGATCTGCATCCGTTTTCTCTCTCAACGATGTCTGTACTCCTGGTCCGTGTGGAGATGCAGCTGGGAATGGAAAGTGTATTCAAACCTCCGCATCAGCTTATAGCTGTCTCTGTAATCCTCTGAAAACTGGAACAACCTGTCAAAATGATGCTACATTGACTCCATGTGCATCTGTGGACTGTGGAGTAGGAACCTGTGGAATAACAGATGATCAGATTGGAAGCTATTGTTTGTGTGCCAACACAAACCAGACTGTTGCTTGTGGTAGAAAGATCTCTCGTGAAGTAGAATGAAATCATGATTTCAGTGGGGGATCCGTGCACTACAAAGCCTTGTCTTTACGGAGGAACATGTACAGACTTGGGAAACGGAAGATATTCCTGTGCTTGTTTAAACTTGTACACAGATACCAATTGTGAAAGTATGGAGGTCTGTGATATGAAATATGAATACAAAGACTTTTTCAGCATTCAATCCATGTTACATTGATAAATGTGAAAATGGAGGAACATGTATTCCAGCGTACGATCTTCTGGATTCCACATTCGTCTGTCAATGTACACCAGACTGGAAGGGCACTTATTGTGAAGAAGGTTTAATTCTCAAAAATTCTCGCATTCTGACTTTCGACTAACTTTAGAAAGATTCTACTGCGATGAGACTCCTTGTCAAAATGGTGGAGAGTGTGAAGATATAATAGGTCCTCCTAATAGTTATAACTGTACTTGCACACCGCAATGGACTGGAACCAACTGCACAACAGGTGAACGCTATTTAATTTTTTCAAAAACCTTTCAAAAAATACCTCTTGAATTTCAGATGTTGATGAGTGTGCCGAAGATACAACTCTCTGTAAAACGAAAGATCCCGATGCCACTTGTGTGAACACAGATGGAAGTTATTATTGTGTTTGTGGTCCGAATATGTTTGGAAAATCTTGTCTATTCAGTGAGAAAACTAGAACCAAGTGTAAAGAACTAAAGTTTTGATTTCAGATAAAATCATCTACCAAATTTTGAACGCAACTTACGGAAACTTGGGACCAGATGAACTGGATGAGGTGAGGCGAGATCAGATAATGATTTACTTCAGTGTTTTTATTCACAGATGGCACAAGAATTAACAAATGATCCAACGCTGGTTCGTGATATCGTTCCATTTCTGATTGGAGGATATAGTCAGGAAGTGAGAGAAAGTCTGTCGTGGACTGCCAAGATATGTTCTTATGGGTTGCATATGAACAGCAGTTGATAGATTTGAAGTTGATATGATAAGATTAAACCCAAAATAACTTTGGATATTTCAGTTCAAACTTTATAATGTGGAATGACAAAGTGCTGGGGAATTGCTTCACATTCAATCACATGAACTCTTTATTTCAATATAAAGCGAGGGCATCTGGATATGCAGGAGGATTGGAAATGCAGATGAATGTGAAACAATCGGAATATCTTCCATGGACAGAAACAGCTGCAGTTATGGTTTTTACATCTACGTCGAAGGAAGTAGTGACGTCAGAATCGGTTCGGATCAATACAGCTCCACATTTTGAATCGAGAATTGCAATTAATCGAGTATATGTTTTCGAGAAAAAAACTAAATATGTTTATATGTTCAGAAAGATTATCATCGGCTAGGTGGAAGATATGGTAAGTGTGTAAAAGCAATCAAAGAGGTCAAGTCGTATTATTATGATGGAGATTATACAACGGATGTGAGTACCTATATTTTGAAACCTTACAATGTGATCGTTCTAGGGATGCCTGAGATCCTGTTACCAGGACGTTGTTGAGGAAACTTGTCAATGCATGGATCCACGATACCCGATGCCCTCAGACGGAATATCGTGCAATATTTCTCAAAGTATCTTTTTAAAGATTTATATAATTTTCAAAAATAATCAAACATTTTTTTTAAAAGCCAGTCTGTTTCTCGCGCCTCTGGCGCTTTAAGCAGCTAGCTGGTGCGTCTTCGGCGCGATTTAACTTGTTTATTTTACTGTTAGTCGCTTCGAAAGAGACACAACTTCATTAATTTATTATAAGAATGATAATAACATAGTAATGTTTTTAGAAACATGCATTGACAATCTGGTTGACACCAAGGGAGACCCATCGAAGTGGCCTCAATGTTCCTGTCCTTTGCCATGCTCTCAAACAGTTTATACGTCAAAACTATCCAGACTTCCTTATGTTAACAAAGTTGGCTTAGTTGCTAACTTCTAAACACAATTTTTCTAAAAATATTTCAGATCATTGACTGTGAGCAGTCATTCATCAACAAGGCTGCCTGTTATGAGAAGTATTTCGACTCTGTGGTGCTTAGAATCGCTCTGCCAAAATTGGATTATATGATTTACAGTGAGACACCAGCCATGGATGTATGAAGATGAAATCTTACTCGAAGTTTAAATTTAAAATTTGAAATTTCCAGCTAACCAAATTCATGTCTTATCTCGGTGGTATTCTAAGTATTCTGATTGGTGTCTCCATCGTTTCCTTCGTCGAGCTATTCTTCCTGTTTGTCCAGCTGGTCGTCATTCTTCTGTTCAACAAACGACTATAAAATATTATTTTTATTCATTTGAATCTCTCTTTGGAATGTTCGATTTGTTGCGTTTTGCTTGTAAAGTTATATACAAAAAAGGAATAAATAAAACAGGGAGCAGTTATCACATGTAACATAATGCTAAAATTAAAGTTGCAATTATTCCAAAGGAGATAATACATACAATTGTCCAAAGTAACTGTGCAAATCCGGCACAACAAATTCTAGAACACCAAGTCTTCCGCCTTCGTGGATCACCTGATTTCATCTTTCTCCTCATTTGCATTTCAGGATACTGTAGATGACCTGGCATCATGACCATACTAGGTTGCTCAAAATGGTTCATTCCTATTTTAGAAGCAGCTGGATATGGGAGGAACATTGGTTGAGGTGGTGGAGGAGCAGGCATGTAATAGAGAGGCATTGCGTACTCTCCGATTCGACTATCACATCGGCCATCAATCATTGACATTCTGTCTCCGTGTTGTGGTGGAGGCATTCCGTAGACAATCATTGGGGTTGGAGCTACGAACGAGGCAGATCGAGAGATCGGATGTCTAGAATTTACGATATTTTGGGAAAGAAGATTCAAAGAATCGAAAGAAGTCAGTCCAATAAAATACTTACCGTTGCATTGGGATGGAACAATTTGGCGGATAGTCATGCTGATGTTGCTGATGCTGTTGTGGTGGCCAGTCTTGTGAAGTTGAGAAATCTGTTGTTGTCTGAAATTTCGCACTTTATCCCTGACTCTCCTAAATTCTTCTAATTCTTACAACAACAGGTAGATTCTCAGTTTTTGGGATCGTTTCGTTGAAAATCTTATTGAATTCAGCATAGGAATAAGTGGATGCCATATCAGGGAGTATGGAAAGAGCACAAAAACCCAAATACGACAATCAATAAAGAGATGAATAAAGGAGAAGGAGAAGCGGGAGCTTAGAACAACAATGAGAAACTGTCATCTCGGCGGGAATAGAGAGAGGAAAAGAAGAGGAATAAGGACAGGAGGAATCGAAGCAAACAACCTGAACCTCTTGCACACCTATTCTTCTCCTTTTATCACAATCCACTTGTGTAGTATTACTCTCAATATGGGTGGTGTGAAACGGATAGTTGCTTTGATTAGAAAAAGGGACCAAACTTTGAAGAAGTCTGGAAATTCTGAAACTACGAAAGAACCAGAAATACTTTCTTCAAAAAATAATACAAGGGATGTTGACTGTTTCCATAAAAAAAAATAGATAGATACGATAATGACGGTTGAAATTTGAAGAATTTTTTTCGCATGTATAGAAACAGCTCGAATTGATGATTTCATGTACCATGTAGCATTTATTTCAGTTTCACCAGATGTCTGAATTTTCTGTACAAAAATTATGAATATTCCAGAAATTAGTCAAAGTTATAGAAAATGTTTATTTGATGGATCTGAAAATGACCTTGAACAAAAAAAGGTGGACAAATTAAAATTGGACAGTGTGGACAGTTGGGACAGTGGTAGTAGTTTGGTCAAATCCGGGTGACAACCAATCTTCCTGCATTTTGAACTTCTTGTTGCTCTGTTCCTTCTTTTCTTCTACAGGTACAGAATCGGTTTGTCTCCCGATTTTGTACTTTTTTAAAGGAAAAAGTGGTCACGCCAAATTCAATTATTATTTGAATTGTGCCACGAGGTACAAAATAGGTAGGCATACCGATTCTGTACCTAGTGAAACAATTCAAATTTTCTCTGATTTCACGTGTCTTTTTGTGGATTTTGAAATATTACTCATGAAATCCGATTTTGAACCAATTTTTTGATCGACACTAACTTTCTACAATACGCTTATTTGAGTGAGAGTGATAT